GTGAGCTCCTGTTATCCGTGTCGGGTTGGTCATTGTCAGAGGAGTCAGTGTCAGATGAGCCGTCACCATCACGATGGCTCTGCTTAACATCACTTTTGTAGTGCCTTTTGCACCTGTTACGTGGGTCAATTTGGCTCGGTGATTTCTGCTTATCCCATGGCTCATGCTTGTGTGATGTGCGTCTCTCTGGTGAGCTCTTGTTACGTGTGTCGTGTTGGTCGTGTTTGTGCGAGGTGCGTTTCTCTGGTGAGCTGTCTCTGTCATCTGCATCATGTCGGTCATACTTGCGTAGCGTGCGTCTGCCTGGTGTTCTGTTTATGTCATGTTTCCCGTCTTGCACCAGCTCCGCCCTTTCCCGCTCTATCATTACAGTGTATCCTGATGACTTAGGGTTAATTATTTGTCTCTCTCTAACGTTGGGGTGGTCGGCCTCATGTTTTCCCGTTTGTATTATTATTTCCTCTTCTCTCTCCTCGATTTGCGAGGGTGTTACTTTATCAAAATTGCTTTGCATAGTAGCCATACTCATTGTGGGATCTGGCCCTGGGCTACGTCCCCGTGGCTCGGAGTGTGGTAAATTGTTACTCCCGTATGTGCTCTGTGTATCAACGTCTGGGTGTTTCACTGGTGCATTTAGTGCGGATTCTTTCTCTCTCACGAGGGCGTGCAGACGCTCTACCTGCACCATTAAGGACAGTTTCTCTTGTCTCTCCCTTTCAAATTTTTCCTCATTCCATAATCTTTCTCTGTCTGTCTGTGCGAGGAGATACGAGTCTACCCTCGCTATTTCTGCAATTTTTACGTCACGTTTGGCTTTGCCACATTTCATCACGTCCTTAAGTAGTTTCCTTCTATGGGCCTTAACATCTTCTGTATGGCTCCCCTCCCATATATCTCTCTGCTCCGTCTGCTGGCTAGCAGTCCGTCCAGTACGTTTTAACACAAATTCCCGATATTGTTTTTCCATAGATTCCATCTCCTCCTCAGAGATCCACTCTGTATCAGTGTTATGCGTTGGTGTGTCAAACTCAGAATGTTGTGGATCCTGTGCCATCTCTATTATGTAGTGTGGTTAATAGACTTAAGAGTGTATCTTAATTCTAACATCTCATGTGCGTCGTGAGTTACTAGAATTCCCCTTCAGAGCACATATAAACAATTGTATCACAGGATGCGTCAGTTCAACTCGAGCAAATAATCTCAGCCCAGCTGTCTTTGTTATACTCTGCTACTCTGGTACCTCCCTTCAGAGCGCGTTTGTTTGTATACCCCCGTTTACAATCACAAGGCAACGTTAGTTCACAACACTTTGATTAACACATCAGTGATTCGTTCCTGAATTCATGCATAACTGTCTGCGAGAGATCCCGGAAGACGAGCCCCCATTATGTTGTATATGTTGGGTTAAGAAAATTTGTTATGTTGTATGCGTGCGTGGGTGAAATTATTATGTTGTACCTGTGTGTTATGAATATTCAGTGAAAATAATAATTATTAAATGAAATCTGGCCAAATGTGTAATTATCCGGAAATATGTTAATTTATGTAATTACGCACATTTTAATTATGCCAATTCGAGAGGTAATCGGATTAATTATGCGAGTGGGTGTAATTATGATAATACAAGTCGTTGTGATAACCAGACCCCGCCTCGGTGACGAGGGTGGGTTATCGATCAGAAGAAGGCAATTAATCGTATGCAGTTATGCAGGTGTGGTGTAAGTATGCAAGATTAACTTAGACTAACTCGGCATCGTTGTCTAGGTTCGTCTCATTCTCGCTTTAACATTCCCAGAGTTTTATTCGTGGTTATATTTTTAGGTCCCCGGTTCACCCCGTTATCGCTTTAACATTTACTGAGTATGTATTAGTGTGTTTATTAAGGTCACCAAGTTCAAATCTCAACGCAGAAGCAGATCTTATGCATAGATTTCAGGAAACAATCACACAACCACTTCTGTATTGATCAATTTATTACTAATTCAACCTTAACTATGGTATAGTATGCGAACTCTCAATCCCGGAACGTCAATACGGCATCAATACAGTATCATCAACGATTGTCTGATTTCACTTTGACAACGGCACATGGATCCCGCATAACGCGATGGTTGTTAGTGAGAGAGAGAGTCGTTAAAACCTGCAAATACTATGCTAAGAAAACCTTAACGTTAATGAATGATTATACTCAATATTGTTCACGCAGTACCGCACTCCTTATTGATCATACGCAACCCTTATCACGTTGTTAACACCTTGGGTCACGGAACAGTTGAATATTCTGTAGAGGATGCGAGTACGTGCGGCGATTATGACTGAAAGATACTTGAAAGATTATACGGCGATAAAAAAAATACAATCAAAAACAGTTATTATTCTTAAAGGCACCAATCTCAACAGATACATCGGCAGGTTATCTGACAACAGAACGGCTCGGAGTAAGGGCCTGCGACGGTGCTCCTTTTCCAAAGCTCGTTATCTTATACCAAGTTTACTAATTGGGGACCAGATCACCTGATAAGGGTCCGGTGGGCCACCACTCCCCACGTGAGCGTGGCTCGGCGGAAGGAGGTGCCAAGAATCAGTTCGTATTGATGGATCTGTTGGGAATTTATGCGATTAAGAGTACAGCCCACTAAATATTAAAGGTAAAAATTAAGAATACTCTTATAAGAGACGGAGGGCCATCACTCGGTCTCGTTGTGATGCTTTCCAGCCACGGATGGCTTATGGGTTCGAGTGTTTTTGAGTGGTAAGAGTTGTCTTGAATAGTCAGTGTTCGGAGTCGATTCTTTAGGTCAAACAGACGCCTGGTGGTCGTGTGGTGAGGGGGCGGTGCGCGTCATACGTATCAGTCGATCCCGTGGCGAATTGGTTCGGATGGCTGTTGATACGCTGTCGCAGTTCGGAACCCGGTCGGTAGGTGGCGCCCACAACTCGCTCGTAGCGTGCAGCTCTGGGTTGTCGCCGATCCGCGATGCTCACCACTCCGGTGGCAGCAGAGACCCCCGATTCGGCAGAGGTTGACGAGCTGAAGATGAGTCGAGCCGACCCGCTGGTCGCAGCTCGCTCCGGAGTCGACCCTCCCGGTCGAGCTCGCTCCTGGGTCGACCCGCTGGTCGCCCTCGCTCCTGAGTCGACTCTCTGGTCGCACTCCTGAGTGGACCCACTGGTCGCACTCCTGAGTGGACCCACTCTGGTCGCACTCGTTCCTGAGTCGACCCTCCCGTCGCACTGATTTCCAATGCTCAGGATCCTTTACTTTATGCCGAAAAATCCCCCTGGATCCCGCCCACAAGGCGGGACTTCTTTCGAATTTTTTTTGTGTCAGGATCTGTCCGTAGGCAGGTGTGTCCATGTGTGTGTCCGTACGTCCGTGTGTCCTTGTGTGCATCACTGACGGTATATTCGTTGTCACACTCCCTCCATAAAACCCACGAGCAAACAATCAGATGTTACAAATTGCCTCGAGGTCGTCTCTCTGTCTGGGCGCAACATTATCTCCTGTCTGGCCTTCCCCACGAACCCAAAACACAGACGTCACAAATGTCTCATAGGCGTCTTTGTTCGCACCACCTGGAGGGAGGGGCAACGCTCTCTCCGACCCGGCGCACAAAGAAATGGCCAAAAGTTTTAAGTTAACATTTGTCCCTTACTATTTCACAGCCATGATTCCGCATGTAACCCAAGGTCTGTCGTTTCCCATCGTGGTGCCCGACCCAAGTGGAGGCGTCTCCCCGAGCGTACACACACTCCCATCCCGCGCTGCGGGGATACAAAGACGGCCGGGATCTCCCTTTCTCTCCGACCCTGGGTTTAACATCGTTTTTTTATTATGTATTTATATTCGACCTGGTGGTGATTCATCCCGTTATCCTGGCTTTTCATAAGTTTTACTTTTGTCTTTTCATGCATATGCTTCGGGTCGAGTTGTATAGAAAGCATCAAAGTATGGAAATAACATTTCATATTGACTTAATGATGGGGATGGTTCAGTAGGCGTACTTGTGACCTGGTTTAATTGGAGTGGGTGTGAATATCAAACTTTAGCCTACCCTGTTGTTAAATTCCGACTTTAACGTTACTTTAATAGCAATACAGAATAATTGAGCTTTTTGTCTTAACTAGGCGAACGCGAACTTCTGGTGACCCCCGCAGCCGTGTTATTTAGCTGGGTCTGCCCGCCTTGAGAGATATACAACACTTTTTTTTAAATCAGCTCTCCCCTGTCCCTCCAACCTTCTGCTCTGGGAATGTTATTCTTAATTTCAGGTCCAAGGCCTCTTTGGGTTTATCTTTGTTTCCTCAGCTGCAGGAGAACAAGGCGTGCTTCTACCTCCCTTTCTGTGTGCACGTGTTCTAATTAGCTCGGAATCCCTAAACACACAATCAGTGATGATTCCTGGCTTTCTGTGGTTGTGACTTAGACAAAGGCGCCTCTGCTTCCTTTCACTGCCTTTGCCTTGAAGCAAGGTTGCAAATTCTGTCATCCTAGCCCTCCTCTCGTTCATTACTTAACAACACCTGGTGTTTTGCAGTTTGGTGCGCTTTGGTGTGTTTCACTCATTAAAAAAACAAGTAAAAAGATAATATATAAAAATCATCAAATATTATTAATCTCAATTATGGAAGAAGGGTTAGTATACAACATACCCAATACCCGGCTACCCATTTGCGACCCTGGTGCGGCTGGGTACGGGTAGGCCGTGAGCCACTGGTGAGTAACCGTTTGTCACTTATTTCCCAACGTCTTGTCTCTTCTCACAATTCAAGTTCCTAGAATCAACCCACCCGCGCCTGCAACATGGCTTCATCCCAGAGGTCGCAATCAGGTACCCGATACCGGCCGGGTACGGGTACCCGGCCGGGTACAGGTAGGATACGGGTACGGCCGGGTACGGGTACCCGTTTGCGACCCTGGTGCGGCCGGGTACGGGTAAGGAATAATAACCCGTTTGCGACCTCTGCCCCATCCCCACTCCGTGTGTCACAATGGACAGGTTTTGGCACTGCAAGGGGAGTTCTCGCAGGCCGCAGACACGCTCAGGAGGGCCCTCAAGCTTGAGCCGTCGAACAAGGTGCCTGCGGAGAAACGCGACGTCACTCGCATCACATCCGCGTTCCTCACCTCCCACGCAGACTCTGCACCATCCTCGTGGAAGACCAGTGACAAGCAGGAATCTCTGCTCGCTCACAATAGAGCACTTATTGATCCCTCTATGTAATGAGGCGTCTCGGGATCTCTCGCATCGTCCACTGTGGAGCAGACTGCGCGCGGCATTTTTCGTTGAACTCACGCACGGCATTAACCATTGGCTACCAGATTCAGATAAGCCCCTCCCCCCCCCCCCACCTTAACTTGTATTTAAGAGCTTGTCTCTTGGAATTTTGCCTCACTTGATACAGTAAATCTGGCTGTGACGGTCCCACCTGATGACGGAGACTTGTGTTGCTTCCGAAACGTCGTTATTATTTCTATTACTTGTATTACATATTTTTACTTATGTGACTTTACCGAAAGAACCAAAGAGTACGACTTTAATTTATAGTTGTAAAAATAGATTCCCAGCCACGACCGCGAAGAGCTGGGACACGCGCCCCTCTGGCGTCTCACCACCGCTGCCGTTGCGTGATCCTCGCGACAGACGATCCAGGCAGAGCTGCACAAGCTCAGGAGGCAGCGCAGCGAGCAGCAGGCCGAAGAAAAGACGCTGTACAAGAAGATGCTGGGCAACATGGCCGTGCCTGCCGACGATGCGGAGCGCGGGAAGCCGGGCTCCTGGGTGAGCACCCGCGCACGCTCGTAAAACAATCATCCACCACTGTGCCGTCTCCCAGCATGCTCTTCACCCGCATCGTGATTTCCTGTCGCCGTCGCGGCCGCGACTCGTCTCCCTTCCCCTCCCTGAGCACCTGCTTCTTGAGCAGCCCGTTACCTGCAGTCGCCACGGCAACGCAGGTGATAGGGGGGATGGGAGGGTGAAACTTAGCGAGACTTGCACGAAGACAAAGATCCACCGTATAGCCTGAACAGACTGTTGGGGCAAGTGCCGTTAGCGGTACACGCGAGGGGGTTTGGTGGCCAGCACCATGCCCGGCGATGTTTACACACCGCACCAGGTACTCATTTGAGGCCGAGTTGGCTTAAGGGAGGCTCAGAAACCGATATTTGTTGGCCGCGAGTGGGAATAAAGCTCGTGCCCACCCCCCCCTTGTTAAATGACCACCTGGTGCTGTGTGTCAACATCAGCGTTTGGGAGACAAAGGCGGCCAGGCGTGGCGCTGGCCACCCACTCCCAACATGTGGCACAGTGCCGGCCTTCATGGACGCTCGCGCACGGCACTTTCCCCAACAGCCGGTGTCGGCTATGTGGGGGTGCTTTGTCTCTCTCGTATTTGTCCGCGTGTGTACGTGCGTGTGTACGTGCGTGTGTATGTACGTGTGTATGTACGTGTGTACGTGCGTGGGTACGTGCGTACGTGTGTATGTACGTGCGTACGTGTGTACGTGTGTACGTACATGTGTACATGCGTGCTCACCTGCGTCGTCGTGGCGCCGTGCGTGTGTACATGTGTACGTGTGTATGTGCGTGCTCACCTGTGGCGCCATGCGTGTGTACGTGTGTACGTGCGTACGTGCGTACGTGTGTACGTGCGCGCTCACCCGTGGCGCCGTGCGTGTAGGGCCTCCCCTGGAAGTGGGTTTTCGGAGCGGCCACAATCGCGCTGGGAAGCATCATCGTCTCCATCATCGTGGCAGCCAGGAGCTAGGTGGCGGCACCTCAACGCTCCCCATACGAACCTCCTCGACTGCTCCACAATCGCCCTGCGGCCCCTCCACGAGGGGGTAAACCCTTGCCTTCGGTACCATCCCCCCCCCAAACCCTCCGCACCCTCCACCAAGCACCTGACACCCTCCCGCCACACCCCACCCCACCCCTGATTCTCCTTGCCCTGTCCGTCGTATCGAGGTAAACTCGGGGGGGCCCCCCCCATGGCATCCGTCTGCAGGTACCAGCAATGGCCAAAATATCTGTTGCTGCCGGCCACGCTGTCTTGAGCGGAGGGCGAGTTGTTGGGCAGTGCGTGTTTCTGGTGTTCGGCGTGGTATCCGACGGGAGCGCTTGGCGGCGAAACGTCGGACATTGTGCCGAATTTCGATTTAAAGCTTTCGTGACTGCAGGGATTCATCTTCTTGGTTCTTTCGGTAAAGTCACGTGGAAGGGAAATAATAAAATAATAAAAATAAAACATAATAAAATTTAGATTTAAAGCTTTCGTGACTGCAGGGATTCATCTTCTTGGTTCTTTCGGTAAAGTCACATAGAAGGGAAGTAATAAAATAATAAAAATAAAATGACGTTTCGGCCACAACGCAAACCAGGTCTGTCGAAGGCGACAGCGTCTCGACAGACCTGGTCTTCGCCTGAGGACGGTTGCTTGCGTTGTGGCGGAAACGTCGTGAGAATTATTTTATGTTTTATTTTTATTATTTTACTACTTCCCTTCTACGTGACTTTACCGAAAGAACCAAGAAGATTGTGACGAATGACAAAGCACATCGGAGAGCCGAGCAGCACGACTGCGATCATCCCCGCGGTGGGTTTTTAACTCTTTGTCTTCCCGCTTCGGAACATTTTCAGAAGTCTCGGCACGTGGGTCGTTGTGGAGTGGGGTTGTCGAGGTTGCAGCGCGTGTTCTTTAACTTCGCCGCTTCACAATCGTTTGTCAGTTGGTTCTTGTCTTGCGATAAATTCCTTGAATAATACGACGATAATGATAATTACCTTTTATTGTTAACCTCGGCTGTAACGACGCGGTGGGACACCGCCCAGAACTGAATATTTCACTATTTCCTGGGTCCGCTGGTAAGACCGGAGGAGGTGGCGCTTGACTTGGTATTCGCCACAATCCGCAGCCGAAGGTGTGTACTGGATGTGGTGTGCCGGGTGTGGAAATATTTTCCGGGGTCTTCGACTTGGGGGCAGATGCAGCCAAAATGAATCCCTGGACTCTAGAGCAGAATGCGGAGATCGTACAATTCTGGCTCTCTGGCTTATGTGGCTCCATGTGTGGCTCCGAAAAGTGATTATTCCCGAAGCCAACCTCTAAGGCAATAATAATCATCTGCTTCCTGCTGCTGCTGCTGTAATAACGTATGCATGCACGGTCGTCGTCGTTTAACTAACCGCGTTAGTGGGGGTGGCAGCGACGTTATTCGTGCCTCGGTTAGTATCGAGCACTAAGGTTCACGAGGACACATGGGCATCTACGGATCACGCGTGGCAGAATGGATGTCGTATTTTGGATCGTGTGATTATTGGATCTGCGTCCCACTAGAGGCAGCTGTAAATGTCAGCCGAGTCGCTTCGCTGAATTGGGTGTCGCGACGGATTTATGGGATTGTCCCACCCCGAAATCTCTAGTGCGTGCTTTGTGTTGTGATGACGCACACCCCAAGTGCACCTTCCTTGTACTTCACATGCAACCCAAGTAACTTTTACCCACCAATGCGCTCATGTCTTGAGTCGATTCAAGTCTGAAACCGCACGGAACACATTGTTTTAGAGAATAACACGAAAGTGAATCAAATTCTCAAGTAAAAAAAAAAATCTACGGGGCAAGCTGGTTCAGTCGTAAGGAACGCTTGCAAGCATTTTTCAGTCCCATCGAACCAGCGGCATAGCTGTTGATTGTGCCAGGCTCTGAAGAGAGGGATTAGGATGGGACGGGGGGTTGGGCGGGGGGGATTGTGCCCATTTCATTCCTTGTATTGGAGGCCGATGAGTTGAACAAAACCAAGTATCCTGATTGCAAATGTGAATCTCAACAAAAGTGGGACCGGGTCCGCGTGAAACGCCCCTTCACGTGACGCGTTCAACATTACTCCGGTGTAAAGTTCGTCGGAAATTCTACCGATTGGGCCCCTGGGCGTCTCGCGTGACCAGACTTTGTCTCTGTGGTCTGGGGGTGCGAGGTTGAGGGACTAAGTTATAACCAGGATCGAGTCGAGCCTGGTCAATTGTCCACCCATCCCACCGGCGGTCATCTGCACCCGACTCTGGGTGCAGATGACCCTGGGTGGGCCCCTTGAAGAGAATCTTAACGCCTCCCGGCGCTTCACCAAAGTTGCTCGAACTGCAGCGCAGAGGTCGCAACCGGGTACCCGATACCCGTACCCTACCCGATACCCGGCCGGGTACGGGTACGGCCGGGTACGGGTACGGGTACCCGTTTGCGACCCTGGTGCGGCCGGGTACGGGTAAGGAATCATAACCCGTTTGCGACCTCTGCCGCAGCGTTCCAGAGGACGGATGTCTCCGATTTCCCCGTGGCTGCTCATGGTACCAATTTCCTGGCCATCGCCCCCCCCCCCCTTTCTCCCCCCCCCCTCCCCCAAAATTTAAGACCAAACTTTTTTTCCACCGTTTTTTTTTTGCAAGCACATACACGTGTGTCTGGGGAATTAAAGAGGATTACTAGTTGTTGTAACGCGTCCTATTTAACGTTAATACTATGAATGATCTGTATAAATGTTTATCGAATTATTTGGAAATAAATTAATTACATAGTCTGTGGATGGTGTCTTTCGAGGTGTCTGTGATGACAGTGGAATCCATTCCCGCTCGCGGTTGCTGTGCAGCATCTTTTTAGTGGCGGGTGTTTGACCCTCAACGCTAATTGCAGAGGTTCACGGTTCAAGCCCAGTGGGCGCCCTGATTAATACTGTGGAAGTGTTTCCGTGACAACCTTAAAATGCACCTCAAGCGAAGTCGCGTAGATTCAAACAACCGGGAAATCTATGCTCTTGATGGACCATCATGGAGGGACAAAATTAACAATGGAACTCAGCATTTTGAGGTCGAGCAAAGAGAGTTGATAGCCAGGAAAAGAGCGCGCCTGGATGCACCGCCATGGGAGGTGCCGTATTATAAACATGGATGTGACCATGACGATCTTCCTGAAATCGTTGGGACGAGCAGCGACGATATATTTCCACAAAACCAGATATCACCGGCTCCGGGAAGACGCCTCATTCTCACAATCTCACCGGGAAGCGCTGCGTTGAAATGCCGGCTTGGTCACTAATCTTGCCGTCTCAACACGGTATCGGTACTCGCAAGGCCGGAGCGGCGGCGCAGAGACCGGTGCGGCATGAACCCGGCGAACCGAGTTGAGCCATGGAAAAAGTCGGTGGGCAAGGGATTATACAAATTGTTCGAGCGCAGCCTCCCCTCCCCCCCCATCAATCACGACAAGCCAGGGTGAGGTAGTCAACCAAATGGCATTCGGAAGGCCATCATCCAGCGGTGGCTTGATAACACTGGTCAACACACTTCTTCTGGCATAAGGTATTCTAAAGGTTTTAAGGTAATTTGGGGTGCCGATTCCAGATCTGGCATCGGTTTTTGTCTATCACATCAGGTTTTTGAGATATCAAATATTGCATTTTCAATAAAAACTGCAGAAGAAAAATATTAAATAAATGTGGATATCTACATAAAATTATATTATAAACACACTATCCTAAAAATACAGCACCACATTTTAACACTAAAGCAGTCACCGACTCGCAAAAACTTGCAATCATAAGTGACAGTGACAGTTAATTTCGGGTAAAATCAATGAAAATGGGGTATGCCGATAGCATAAAAATGAGATGTGATAGAGCAAATCTGACATCAGATTTGGAATCAGCACCCTGAAATGAGTCTAAAACAGCTGCAAAAGTCCAGGCCAGAAAAAAATGTTTTTTTGTTGTTGACCAGTGTAATGGCAAAACCGTTACATTGCACTACGATGATCCGTACAGCCTTAAGTCACGTCACAGCGAGAATGTAAACATTGCAAGCAAGATTTATTAACATAGGCAGTGAGCACTTTTGATTTGCGCTGTACATATTACGTATTCTTTTGTACAAAAACATACAAAGGTTTGTTTGATAAATCCCGAGCGTAGCTTCGGAGCTGACGTTTCTCACACATCTGTAAAATCTCCATTGTTAAGAGGTCCGGTGCTTTAACATTAGTGGCAGCATAAAAATTTGTTTAAATAAGTTCATAGCGCACATCTCCACGAATGGCACCGCAAATTTAAAAACACAATCAAAACGTGCATAATACTCAAGTCAACGCAACAAAATAAGCTTGTTTTAATGCCGGATTAATCAAGTGTTGGATCTAAAAACTCCAGTGGTTATTTTCTCAATCGAATCAAGCGATTTACTCTTTTGACAACTATTTGACGGTTGTGCTACATGGTTCGCTGGAGCGCGTTCGGGTCAAGCCGCACATCGAGAGGATCTTCAGGGACGCGGTTGCCGCAGCAAAACGTCAGACATCATGCCGAACAACAAACACAGCGCGTGCCAAGCGATTTTTTCTTCTCCTCGATTATCCAGCAACACTCTGGAAAACATGGCAGCCAGTGGACACGTTTCTACAATCGCAGGTTCATGAATTTACCCTTCATGCAACCGGGCACACAGGTGGGCCCCCCCGTGCAAGGAATTGAAATGAGGCCTGCCCCCCCCCCCCCCCGCTCCGTCCAATTTCTCTGGGGGCCCATCCGGCCTGTGGGTCCCAGCGTAGCAGCACCGCTAGCTACACAACGCGCTTGTGATGTCACGCCACCGTAGCCTCAGGTCTCGGAGCCAAAGAGGGGGGCCCGCCCCTCGTGGTACGGGTGGTTTTCCACTAGATTTGAAGCTTTCGTGACTGCAAGGATTCACTCTTAGGTTTTTCGGTAAAGTCACGTAGGTAAAAAATGAAATTAAAATTTATAAGTTAATTTTATTATGATTATTTTATTTTTATTCATTTTAATTTCATTTTTCAAGCCAGCACCAAAGCGTCATACGCTGGGGGGAGGAGGGGGCTTCGCAAGACGCATGCAATCTGGTCTGGGGCCAAGCAGGGCCAGATGCGGGGGGGGGGGTTAAAAACTCTCCATTGTACACTGTTATTCAGCCCACAGCAGAGGTCGCAACCGGGTACCCGATACCCGTACCCTACCCGATACCCAACTACCCGTACCCGGCCGGGTACGGGTACGGGTAGCCGTTTGCGACCCTGGTGTGGCCGGGTACGGGTAAGGAATCAAAACCCGTTTGCGACCTCTGGCCCACGGACTGACGCAATGTCCGTTCAGACAGTCCCGACGTAGGCGGCACGGCTCGTGTTTTACGGTGGCAAACAGAGCCGCGAGTTCTCGCGTCTTCCCTTCAGCAGCCACAAGACGGCACGGGGCGCGGTGATGAGAGCGCGAAGATTGGGACAGGCGGCGCCAGGAACAACAAACATCGGTCAGCACCGCGACACGGCAGCTACTCAACGTCGAATTAAATAACGTAAGCGACAATAAATTAAAAAGGTTTTACAAAACGAAAAACACTGTCGGAATCATCACTGGATCGGTCTCCAAACCTCCCCTTCCTTGGTGCAGCCTGAAATGATTATTTTTCTTCTTATAATTCGCGTAAGATAGCAATAATATACAACTTCCAAGCCTTTGTAAAATCAATGCTGGATGAAGACCTCCCTACGCCGCGTCAGCTGAGGTGGTTGCTTGATCATACTTCACCACGCTGGTTTGTGCGGGGGTGGGGGGAGCGGGGAGTAAGCCGAGGCCTGGTGACGTTAGCCGTGGCCGGAAATCCAACTGCGGCTCACCGAGTTCGTCGCGCGGTTTGATAACCCACCGGCCGACTGCTCTTCCCAAGTTATTTTTTGGTGCAAGGTGAAAAACTAAAATACTAAACAAGGAATTGGCCCAACGTTACAATAGTAAGACCCCCCTCTTGAAATTCATGAGACTCACTCGAGGCTTTCCTGAACACACTGGAAACGACTCCAATAAAATGTGGTAACTTCCAGATGCCCCACTGATTTATAATGCAACTCGGAGACTTCCCAACATGCGGCTGAATATTTTGGATGCGATGGCTCCAGCCCGGTCTTACAGGGGGAGAGAGTTAGAAGATTTAATAACTTAGTCCGAGGCCAGGCCAAATATTTAACCTTTCGCTACCAAAAAAAAGACTCAACTTTAAATCGCCAATGGACAAGAATTATGCAATAGCCCATCCGTCAAATTAATTTGCAAACACCTGTGGTACTGAATTCAGCCGTGGCCCGAACTGCGTTGAGATTGGTGGGAGAGACGCGCAGAGACTTTATAAATACAATGTTTTGTTTTTCTCGATAATGTCAATGTGTCTACAATAAAATTCTGGGACAACAAACTCACAACTCCTCAAAAAACGCTTCTCTTGAAGCTCACTTCGTCTGTCACACGGGAGGGCTTCGATGAGCCAAATGATTGTGCGTGCGACACACGTACACGGCGTGCACATGGACACGCGTGCACACGGACAGTTCATGTCGGACGGGGGTACAGGTCCTGGGAGTCGTTTGACCAGACTTCACTATGCTGGTCAGTGTGTGCCGCAGGCAGTGGGGGGATCGGGAGGGGAGCATAGAAGTACGGTATAAATATGGATTCTGCTGGTACTGCCCTCTCATGCCAACCACCCGCACACGTAGTCCTGCATCCACACGGGGCGACCTGGCGCGCACGTTGGTACACACCACGGCAAACGCAATTGATCAATCGTGTTCGCGGGGAGATGAATGCGGTTGGAGGCGGTCGGCGGCTCACCGCCGTCATCGCGCGTCACGGACACGTAGCCGGCACCGCCGAGGATCCTGGGCTCTAGTTCGGGCTTCAAGACGGAGACGTCGCGGAGAGCCGATGGTCTCAGCCCGGTTACCGACACAAACACAAACACATTTATACACGCGCACCGCGGTTTGGTTTTCACTTATTTTGGCGTATTTCCAGATATTACGAGGATTCACGGCATTTCCGGTTTGCCGCGTGACAAACACGTCCGGGGCAGAGCGTGCGAGTAGGCGCACCGACGCAGGCGTGGATACGACGAAATGTCAAGGGGACCTTCAGAAGTAGTTCGGCGACGTTTTTTTCTCCTCCACCGCGAGACCTCTGAGCGGTCGCCGCATCCATCTGACGACGCCGCGACGGCAAAGGGCGGGGTACACGTTCGGTGAAAATTATCGTAAAAAAAAAGAATGCGTGGTGAAGGAAAAAAACACACAAACACGAGCTGCGCACCGACAATTTAAAGTCCGCTCGCCGTCGTTAGCGCGGCCGTACACGCGTGCGCGTGTGTGCCTGTGTGTGTTGACGAGAGTGGCATGAGAACGCGAGGTTCACGATCGCGTCTCTCTCTACTCCGCCGGGCCCGGCCTTCCCGCCCAGCCCCCCGGCGCCGCCGGCGCCTCCGCTAGCCGAGCCGGCTCAGACCTCAGTCACGATGCCGACTGAGAAGAAGCCACTCCGCCGATCCCCTCCTGGGCACCAGTGTCTCTGCACACGCAGAATCACCCGACGTTTAACAATCATAATGATTGTTTCAAATCGTACTCGCTCCCGAGTTGAGGTCAATAAATCAATCTGTACTTCATTGCCAATGTCGCCCTCAATAAAGTAAGGCGTCGGTGCATGTTGCAATGGAATGGCACCGGGGGAGCAAGAGGAATGAAAAAAAATACCCGTCACGACCTCAGCGGCTTAACACTGACTGAGCAGAGCAAAATTGAAACCGCGCAGCAACCAATAGCGCAATAAAGGTAAGTAAATAATGAGTAAAGAAACGGTGCTTATTTTACATTTAATATTTTTTTTTTTACAGAGAGAACGACTCTGCGGTCCTCTACGTATCGAGTTGTTTTCAGCCATTTAATGAGTGCCGATGCATGTAAAGGAGGAAACCGGAGCGCCCAGAGAAAAAACGCAACGCTCTATCCCTAAAAATTATCCCTAAGAGGTTTGTCACGTAAACAAAACGTGGCAATTCGTTACTAGTTCAGCACGCCGGTGTGTTGGAGAGCAAATCCACAACATTCACAATTCGAGTACGACGTTTCGCCGGTAATTACAACCGGCATCATCAGGCGACAGCCAGAGTATTTAAGACCGACACAGATGGAAACAGATGGAACTTCGTCCAAATTTGCTCATCTGTCGTCTCCGTGCAAGCAACGATATGGCACCTTGGAATTTCATCCAGCAGTAGATTCACAAAGGGGCTGATCGTCGGCTCCCGCGCTACAACATTCCATCAAACTCTCGCACGAGAGCCGATCTCATCGCTCCATCTCCGCGGCGCGCGTCCCTCCCTCCCGGGCACATATGCCGTTCCCTTCCAACACGACTACGAACGTCATTCGTACGCCGATTAACGCCGACGAATCATTTACCACGGCTCCCGACGGCGAGGCGGCTCGCTAATCGCCGACACTCACCTGCATCGACTTTGTCCACGCGCCGGATTCACTTCACCGCTCCCAGCGGGCCGACCTGCGCCGGCTTAGCCGTGCCGGCCGACCCCGCCGGCCGGCGCGCGCTGCACGCGGCGAGGTTCGGCCTGGGCTTGGCGAAGCGCGCCCTCCTGGCCGGCGGCGTCACGTCGGCGCCGCCCTTCTTGGCATCGCCGGCGCTCCGAGTCGGCTGCGGTCGCGCCGAATCGGACCGTCCGTCGTCGTCGGCAGCCGGCGCCTCGGTCGAACCGGGCGGCGCCGGCGAGACGACGGGGTCGGCCGATTCTGCGACCGGCGCCTCGTCTTTGCCGGTGCCGCGGCCCAACTCAAGGGTCAGTTCGTCGGAGTCGCTCGCGGGTTCTCTCGACGGGACGTCTGAAGCTTCCGGCGGGCCCGGCGTGGTGTCCGCGGCGTGCCGTTTCGCCGGGGGGCCGTCTGCCACGTCGGAACGAGGCCTCCTGGGCCGCGGTACCGTGCCTGCATCGCCGGCGATCGCGGTTGCCGGCAGTTGCACCGGATCGGCCTGGCCACCGTCGTCAACCGCGACCCCAGAGCCGGCCGCCTCAGTTAAAACTGACACCGGCACGGTTGGAACCGTTGGTTCGGCCGGCTCGGCGACCGAACCCCCCTCCTCTTCGACGGTGTCGAGGCCCGACTCGGGGGTCAGGAGGTCGCCGCTCGCGCCGCTCGGGGCCTCCCTCGGCAAGACGTCCGGTGTTTCCGGCGAGCCCGGCGCGGCCTCGGCGGCGGCGGCGAGAGGCCACTCGGGGCTCGGCGCGCCCACTGGTGCTGCCCACGAGGTCATGTGACCATCCGAGATGGTGGGTGCCGCCCCCTCCCAGTCGCCGGGCGGAACGCCGCCGCCCTCCATCGCCGCGCTGCGCACAGCGACAACAACGAGCCCGCCGCCGTTACGATGGGGGTCAAAAAACAAGATGGCGCGCCGCGGCGTCGCAACGGTGGTGGACGCATGGCGGTCGTCGGTTCTGCGCATGTCCGTTTGTAAAGCAGCAAAAGTGTTAAATTACCCTCCGTTTAAAAGCAAAGGAGTTGTCGCTTTGGACAGGTCTCAGCGATCGATACGAGTGGCGCCTACTCACGAGAGCTGCACGTGACGCAAAAACAAAAAGCGCGCAAAGCCGTCACCTCTTCGCGTTGTTCGTCTCCGTGGAGGTTTCCTGGCCCTCCTGATCGTCCGCCACCGCGGCGAGCGAGAGGTGCTCAACCTCCGGTGCCGCCCCCGCGGCGTCACCACCGTCCCCCCCGGCCAGCTGGAACGCTGCGTCAGTCTCCCCGCCCTCGCACATCATGAAGCAAAGCATTGTGGGAGCGCTGCCACCCCCGTCGCCCTCCTGCGAGGACACGTAGGCGTCCTGCATGCTCCCGAAGCCCGCCTGCTCCATCATCTCGTACACGAACGCTTCTGCGGTTGACAGCAGCGCGTGGGGGGAGGAAGAGTGTTTCGTTTATTAGTGAGGACATTTACGCGTTTAAGGAGGTGAGATTCTTGCACATATGCGATTCATCACAATGTAGACAAGAATAAATTATATTAAGGTACGATGATCGGTGTCATCGACACAAACGCACGACATTGTACGGATTACACACGATCGCACACGCAACACTTTGAGGTCACCAATGCAATGCAGAACTCACCATTAACCCTCAAGTGTTCGTCGTCAGTCTAGAAAGAGAAAAAGAACACAAACAAAAAGCATGTCAATAGATCAACCACGTTTCATTCGTGGTGTTCCTTGCTGGCGTTTCGTCAATTTGAATGACAGCCGCTTTGGTTCACTGATGCGTGGTGGTTAGGTCATCCAGGCTCAAGCCTGCTTAGCTCGTTTCTAAATGCGGAGAGAAAAACTGGAGGACCCGGAGAAAAATCCACGCGACTGTGGCGAGAACATGCAAACTCCCAAATAGACAGCAGACATCAGGGTCGGGATTGAACCCACAACCTCTTGCATACCAGGCAAGGTAATTAACATCTCATAGCCACCGTGGGCCAGTTGTCAATTCAACAAGTCCCTGACAGCAGCACGACCACTACTAGAGAATTTCATTCACACCGGACAATCGTTGCGAGAGTCACCGTGACCCCAAGCACGGCCAGCGCCGATGCATTAACGATCTCAACCGCGGTTGGTCGACGTTGATAACAAACAAAATTAAACAGAATTAATAATTGTTTTTTTACCCTTTTATCTGGCAACAAAACTGACACCTTTTTTTTACAAGGAGTCATGTTTGCATAGACCACAATACCTGCAGTCATAATGCAAACAAAAAACATAACTCTGATAATGTATGCACTGTCCTTGAAGTTGATTGGTCCACACCCTAGACAGCTTTCCTTAGAGCCTAGTCTCACATGGTGTTGGACCAGATGACGCCAAAAGGTGCACGACTGCAGGTATTGTGGTCTATGCAAGCATGACTCCTTGTAAAAAAGGTGTCAGTTTTGTTGCCACATAAAAGGGAAAAAAAACAATTATCATATTTTTCTACTGGCAAATGAGGTTCCAATGGTGTAAACAGAATTGCTTTTTGCGTTTAGTTTGTTGTCCTTACCCAGCACCGCCGATTATCACGGTTGGCTACGTACGAAGTTCAACAGACATGCAAATCCCTCAGGCGTGGGACTCACGATCACGACGCTGCAGTTCTGCTCGACGTGCAGACCGCACGCGTCGCTGCCGGGGTCAACGGACTCCTCCTCCACCGCCGCCTCCTCCTCCTCCAGACCATCGTCGTCATCGGCGACCACCATCTCTTCCACGCACGTCACTACCAGCTCCTCCAGCATCGCGTCGCCTTCCGACAGCTCCACCTGCTGTCGGAGGTCCGTCGTCGTGCCAACGGATTGAGAGAGAACGCTTCGTCAGCAGCTCACGCGTGGGCTGCTGCCGCCCCCCCCCACCCCGCCCCCCCGCATCGGTTTATTGGATGCTGCCGAGCACGCGATGCTATTGGCCGTCTCGGGAACGGTGCGGAGTAATCGCCGGTTCCATCGGCGCCTCGGGATTCGTTTTACATTCGTGTGAGCCACAATGTCAAGTCGCAAATGATGACCGTCGTCATCGGCGTCAATCGCGATCATCGTTACCATTGTCGCCGCTACCATTGTCCTTCGTCATCGTCGTCGCCGCCACCATCAACGCGATCACCTCGACGCTCTTCATCAACTGCTCACGCAAACATTTCTGCCGCGATTTTTTTCCCCAATTAAACCGTCCGCGAGTGTCCGCTTCATGTCGCCACCGATTCACTTCGGCCAGAGCGACCGGCTTCTGCCCACTTCGCCCACACGCAGCATTTCTCCGTTCACCCCCCCCCCCGCCCCGCCCAGCCATACCTCCTCCATGTGCTCCGTGAGCGGCTGCGGCTCGGGGGAGCGCAGGCACACCGGCACGAACGCTGGCGCGCAGCTCATGTGCTCCGGCCTCACGGGGGGTGCCGGCGTCGCCGCCGCCGCCGCAAGACAGCTGGCGCGGTGGCGCCGCTCGCTGGCGCGGTCCCCCCCACCCCGCCCCTCCTCCTCCTCCTCGGGAGGGAGCACGGCACGCAGAGTCACCAGGCCCCCCCGGCCGCGAGTTGCCAGCACCGTCGCCTTGTCCTGCCGAGGAGAGGCACGCGTCACTGTGGCTGCGCGGGTGGCGAGATGTTAACTACCTCGCCTGGTATACAGGAGGTCGTGGGTTTCGATGCTGAATCTGATGTATATTTTTCTCTGGGCACACTTGTGCAAGCCAACACATTCACACTGTATTGGAGAAGTGGATATCAGGGGTGTCACAGTGGCAAGATCTTAACTACCTCGCCTAGTATGCAGGAGGTCGTGGGTTCGATCCTGATCCAGACTCCTGTATATTTGGAATTTCCCTCCACGTATAGATATGCGTTTAGAGCATTTGGCTGCTGCTATGAACTGCACATGAAAAGCCGCTTCGTTGAGCTATCGTGGCCAGGTCGCTTAGTGGGCAAAACCTACTAAAATAAAAACGGCTTAGTTTAGTGACCCAAAAAGATATTTTAGTGAGAAATTAATCCCCCCTCCACCCCCGACTCCGCTGACGCGACGGTCCGGCCGATGGCCGTCGCCGCCCCTCACCGTCGCGTCCCGACGAGGAGGCCTCATCGGCGGCAGCGGCGGCTTCCGTGCACACGTGCTAGGCCTCGGCTTGGGCCTCACTGGGGCCGCGGGGTCTTGGGCCTCGCGTCGCCGCGGCCGCTTGGCCGCCCCCCCCCCTTCCTTGACCGGCGTGTCGCCGCCGGGTCCCGCCGAGCCGGTGCTGTAGAACGCCGTGGGCTTGGGCCTGCGCCCGGACCTGTGCGCAGGCGGTCGAACCGACGCTTGCGTCACGCGGGCGCGGAATCGCGCAGCCGACACCGTGGCCATTGCCGACACGTTACCGTCACCAACACCAAAACCGTCACAAAAACCGTCACAAAAACCGTCACCAAAACCGTCACAAAAACCGTCACAAAAACCGTCACCAAAACCGTCACAAACACCGTCACCAAAACCGTCACAAACACCGTCACCAAAACCGTCACAAACACCGGCACAAAAACCGTCACAAACACCGTCACAAACACCGTCACCACGTTTTTAGTTTAATTTTCTTGGCAGTTTTTCACCATGCCTGACCATGAGTTTTTTATATTTCTTGTTCTCAATCACGAAGCCTCGTATCAGAGAAAGGCCAAGGCCACCGTGTCTACTTTGTGGGGAGCTCTCCACACGACTCCAGCTGTGTTGTTTCCTGCGTTGCGCGCTGCTCCAAGTGAACCGTTCGTCGCGTGTCAATTCTCTACCCACAACTCCCTGCTGCCTGCATCTTGAAACAAAAAAAATCGTTTTACCCCAATTTCATCTCAATTGCGCTATCATCGTCACGTCAAGAGACCACTCGGAATGCTCGCGGAGCAGTGCGACCCTCCGTGTTAGACAACGACCCACAGAGGCGGATATCACAGACCTACCTCCGAATTCCGGTGACCTGCGGTTCACACAGCAGAGGGCAGCACTTTCCCAGCTGCCCTACCACAACATCTGCTGTTGCCTGACATTCAGAGTAATATTTTCTGTTCACAGGAGTTGGAATTTAACCGAATTAAGAAAATAAACAAACTTAAACGCGACGTTTTATATACTGGTGACAGGGCCGAGACCACCAAATCACACAACCTTGAGAACCCAGTTTAATGACAGGCAGCTGTGACCTGAGTTTGAACCCAGGATCTCAGCGGTGCCGGCCCAATGCCCTGACCCTCTCTGAGCCACCTGGCCCACCACCCCATGCACAACATTTCTTGTCGTTTTAACCGACGACGCTCGCTCGCCAGAACCTCACCTCGTCGGGTGACTCAACATCCTCTCTTTGACACGCTCAAAATCTTCTTCGTCGTCGATGTCTTCGTCACCCCCACTGCGCTCGTCTCGGCGTTCTGCCGATTCCACCACCAACTCGGGGGACGGTTCTGGCGCCGGGGCGCCCGCATCCGCGCCCGTGCCGGCGCCGGCGCCGCGAGCGATTTCGCAGCCCAGCGACAGCAGCAGCTCCGCCTCCTCCAGGCCACTGGGCGCGGGGGGGGGCGGCGGGGGCTCGGGGACCGCCGTGGACCCTCCGGTTCCTGGAGTCGCCGTTCCGGTCGGCGTCTCGGTTCCCGTTTGAGTTTCGGTGACGGTTCTGGTCCCGGTTCGGATTTCCGTTCCGATTCCGTTTTGGGTGGCAGCCGACGCTCCGATCGCTCTCTCCGTCGCGCTCTGGGCGGCGGTTCTGGCTCGGGTTTCGGTGGCCGCCGCTCCGGTCCCGCTCTCGCCGCCGCTCTCGCTCCAGCAGTCGGCGTCGCCGTCGTCGCTGTCCGCGTCGCTCCTGCGTCGCCCCGTCTCTGTCGCAGGACCGGCGGACGCGGCGTGAGGACGACGACGACGAGACTTAAGAACGCCACGACATTCACAGGAAATACAAACGACATCGGGAGAAACCCCAGGGGACGAGACAGAGGGGATAAAAAAGAGAGGCAGACCCACCCCTCCCTTCTCCACGCGGTGCTGAAACACCGCACGGAGGTGTTATGGCGGCGGTTCGAGCCCAGCGGCCGTCCTGGTTAATACCGCGGACGTTAAAAATACGCGCCGAGTCTACGTCACAGAGGGCGTTAAAGATCCCACGACGTCCGTGGGCAAAGCCACATTCGTCCCCCCGCCACCCACCCCACCCCCGGTGATGAGAAACAAACGCCCACTCTTTCCTGGCTGGCGCCGCGTTCTTCACCAAGTGCCTCACGGGGGCAGCTGCCGCCGGTGGGCCCCACCCCCGGCTTGCGGGGCGGAGGCGCGGCGGTGAAACGGAAAGAAGCGACGGCGGTGGTGGCGCGGTGAAACAGCCCCTCCGGGAACCGCCCCTCTCCTGGACATCTGTGAGAAAGAGCTTCGTAGCTCATCGGATTGCTCGAGCCATAAATGAAAACATCGCACGCTCACTCTTTGGGTGGTACTTGCGCCGCCGCCTGCCCTTGGAGTCGGGCGCCCGATTGAGCGCCTCCGTCTTCTGCCGCTCGAACTCCTGCAGCAGCGTCTCGAAGCACGACACGTCCAGCGGCAACTTGTTGCCTGCAACACGGAAACAAATCAAAACAACGGACAAAAGATATGCCCGCTGCTGGACGAAGGATTTCCCCAAGCCATCGCAGTTTCCCGACGGTGCTAGCGACACGATTCCAAGCGTGCTTACGTGCGCGGCACCCGTCAGCTTTTCAAGTTCAAGTTCATTTATTACAAAAAATATCTTAAAGTGAACATGTGACTAAGTGGAAACAGAAAATCCAAGAAAAGACAGCAAAATATTGCAGAAAAAAACACCGTACACCAACGCTGTGTGCAAAAATCCCAGTGGGATGCAAGTCAAACAACAACACGTTGAAAACGTCGGACGAAATGTCACGACGCCAAGGTCCGTGCTTCCGCTCAAGGACCGTTTTTTTTATCATCCCAATTCGTTTTTGTTGTCCGTCTCGTGTGTACGCTGCCCTCTCTCGCCGCTTGTCCGCGGTTTCCTCCTCGTACCTCCGACTCGTTCTCTGGCTCCGTCGGGAGCGAGCGAATGGCGAGCGGCGCGCGTTGCAACTTTGACGTTTTTGTGTTCCTCTGCCGATGATGACACCCCGGAAAAAGGTGGATAACTGCTCCGGAGTTTGATTCGTGAAAACAAAAATGCTGGTGGGTAACATCTGTCTGGAGAGCCAATAGGGCCGATGTTCGGACGTTTGATGTTTGATCGCAGCCACGTGGAGATCCGATGTGCACGTCATGCCGGAGCCCGAGCAAGTAACGAGGGACTCACGGAAAGCCTGGTCGATCTTGCGGGGATTGCACCGCTCCTCGCGCTTGAACTTGTTCTGCGGGAAGAGAGGACGTCCGATGAACGTGCTTTGCGGATTCACACACACAAAGACAAAGGTCCCCCCCCCCCGTGTAGCCTTTAACAGACTGTTGGGGCAAGTGCTGTTAGCGAGCACCTATGAAGGCCGCGACGACACACGAGGGAGTGGGGTGGCCAGCAACAATGGCCGGCCGTCTTTATCTCCCCCAGTGGCGATGTTTACTACACACCGCACCAGGTACTCATTTAAGGCTGAGTCGACCTAGGGGAGGCTTCAGATAATCTTCACTGGTGTTAGCCTTGAGCAGGAATCGAACTCGGGTCACCGGGTTCGGAGTGCAGCGCGCTAACCGCTGCGCCACCGCTCCTCACGAACGCGCACACACACGTGCACACATGCACACGCACACACGCGCACGCACGCACACACGCGCACACACGCACACACACACGCGCGCACACACACGCGCGCACACACGCACACGCACGGGCGAGCAAGCGGGGGCAACGCTGAAGTGAGTTTGTGTAACCGTGCAAACCCTGACGCCACCTTGATGTCGACGCGCGAGCGGTTGGGGAAGAGCTGTCCGATCATGGAGAAGTCCATGCCGACCATGCTGATGGCCAGGAAAAACAGCTCGGTCTCTGCACAACCAACAACAACAACAACCACAACAACCACAACGTGATCAGGAACAGAAGATGCACGTACGACCACGTGCGTGTGTGTGTGTTGGTACCTACCCATAGGGAGCGATAGTGTTGAGTCTACGGGCAGTGTTGAGTCTATGGGTAGTGTTGAGTCTATGGTGGAGTATTAGTCTATGGGTAGTGTTGAGTCTTTGGGCAGTGTTGAGTCTATGGTGCAGTGTTGAGTCTATTGGTAGTGTTGAGTCTATGGGCAGTGTTGAGTCTATGGGTAGTGTTTAGTCTATGGGCAGTGTTGAGTCTATGGGCAGTGTTGAGTCTACGGGCAGTGTTGAGTCTATGGGTAGTGTTGAGTCTATGGGCAGTGTTGAGTCTATGGGTAGTGTTGAGTCTATGGGTAGTGTTGAGTCTATGGGTAGTGTTGAGTCTATGGGTAGTGTTGATTTTATGGGTAGTGTTGAGTCTACGGGCAGTGTTGAGTCTATGGGCAGTGTTGAGTCTACGGGTAGTGTTGAGTCTACGGGCAGTGTTGAGTCTACGGGCAGTGTTGAGTCTACGGGCAGTGTTGAGTCTATGGGTAGTGTTGAGTCTATGGGCAGTGTTGAGTCTATGGGTAGTGTTGAGTCTATGGGTAGTGTTGAGTCTATGGGTAGTGTTGAGTGTATGGGTAGTGTTGAGTCTATGGGTAGTGTTGGTCTATGGGTAGTGTTAGTCTATGTGCAGTGTTGAGTCTACGGGTAGTGTTGAGTCTACGGGCAGTGTTGAATCTATGGGTAGTGTTGAGTCTACGGGCAGTGTTGAGTCTACGGGTAGTGTTGAGTCTATGGGCAGTGTTGAGTCTATGGGTAGTGTTGGTCTATGGGTAGTGTTAGTCTATGTGCAGTATGTATTACGTTGAACTTCTTTCGCACCGTACGTAGCCAACCGTGCTAATTGGTGGTGCGAGTCCCCGCTGCCCTGTGTAAACATCGCCACTGGGGAGACAAAGGCGACAGCACTTGCCCCAGCAGTCTGTGAAGGGGGGATCTTTGTGTTTGTGAGTGTGTGTGTGCGCGTCACCGTTACCTAGGAGGCCCCACTGCTTGGCGTGGTAGCTCTTGCGGAAGCTCGAGTAGGTGGTGTGGGAGCCGTACTCGTGGATGGGGTCGCAGTCCGACACGGGGGGCAGCCCCTCCGTGCGCGACACCTCCACCATCAGGCTGCCGCAACACACAAAGGCGAGCGATGTTAGCGAGCGACACCTATGAAGGCCCGCACGGCAAACGAGGCGGTGGTTGGCCAGCACCTTGCCCGGGGAGGCGCAAGACCAGTTCGCTTGTCACCGATTTTGGCCGTGAGTGGAAATTTAACTCTGGTTACTCGGTTCGTAGCGCGGTGCGCTAAGCCGCGACGCTGCAGCTCTCCACACACACAACAAACGCACAGGCCCATCCTTCCTTGTGCCAGTGCTTAACCGCAGCAAGTTGTCCAGGGAGGCAGTTGGCCTCGACTGACGGGGTCACAATGACGACCGAGGAGAGAGACCGACCACTGCTCAGAGGTCGCAACCGGGTACCCGATACCCGTACCCTACCCGATACCCGGCTACCCGTACCCAGCCGGGTACGGGTACCCGTTTGCGACCCTGGTGCGGCCGGGTACGGGTAGGCCGTGAGTCACCGGTGAGTAACCGTTTGTCACTCATTTCGGGTAGGGTACGGGAAGCGTATCCGTACCCGTACCCGGCCGGATACGGGTCGCTTCTGAAAACGAGCTTCATAGCTCAGTGGGCCTTACCTAGTAAAATAAAAAAAAATTACTTTATAGAGTGAGCTCGAGTTTACTTGGACAAGCGGGTGGCCTGTTGGGCGACTTGGTGGGTAAGAAATTGTGCAAAATCGGGGTGAGCAGATGTCATGGCAGGTGAGCAAACGATTGGATGAGGGGCATAAGCAGGCGAGCAGGTGAGCAAGCAGGCAAACGGACGGACGGGTAGGCGAGCGGACGAGCAGACAGGCGGACCGCTCACTTGCCTGTCCTCGTTGAGCACGATGGAGCCGTCCTCGGCGACCCTGACCTGCGGCACGAGCAGCGACTGCGCGTCGCCCGCGGGGCTTAGCGACGGCGCAGCCGCCGCCGCCGGAGAGACGTCCGCTGGCGAGTCGCTCGACGCCGGCGCGCACGGGGTGGACGGGACAGACGCGTTCGAGGCAGCGGCGGCGGCGGCGTCGGACGGAGGAGCAGGGACGCCGGCGGCGGGAGCGGCAGCGGGGCTCGGGGAAGGAGCCGGATCGTTCGAACAATCCGGGGGTGGCAGCGGCGGCAGCGGGGAGGTGGGGCCGTCAGGAGGGGTCAGCTCGAGGGAGCCGCCGCTGCCGCCGTCGCCGTGAGCCGCCGACCGATCGCCCTTGGGGTACTTGTCGAAGCGCTTTTCCGGCAGCAGCTTCCCATCCTCCGACTTGAGACGGCTGAGAGCGAAGCGCAGACGGGAGAATGGTGAGCGGGGATAGGAGGGGGGGGGGGTGGGTGTGGTTTAAACCTGGGCTTAATTTCAGCCGGGTCAGTGACCACAGAAAGTATTTCCGCACCCGGCACACGACATCCTAATTTGGCTACAGCTGTGGCTACTACGAGTCACGTGCAGCCTACTCCAAGTCTACCAGCGACCCAGATACATATTCATTGACAAGTTAAGCCTTGATTAAAACCAGTTGTCTGATGGCGCACCGATTAGTCAACGAAAGTATGATCTTACGCTCGTCGTGTAGGCTTGAAATCGCTAGCGAGAGAATCGATTGCATTGGACCTGTACACACGTTGTATGTAATCGGCTCGCGTGACCCCAGCAGCCGCTGTACTGATGCCAACTAAGAGTGTGGCCGCAAACCGAGAATAGTGGAGGTGAACCAAGGTCGCGACCACCAGCGAACGGGGCAAAGGCCAAGGAGTAGAACACAAACGCAAGTTAACACTAACACGCAGATCTGAGCAGCCAATGTTATGTACAGGCTAGTATACTCAAACTATAAAACTAGTAAACCATTTTTATTTGACCAAGTAAGGCCCACTGAGCTGTATAGGTCTTTTTCATGAACAACCTGGCCACAAAGTGGCTTATCGCGTGGCAATTTATAGCAGCCAAATACCGGAGGACCCAGAGAAAATCCACACAACCACGGGGAGAACACACAAACTCCAAATATGCAGGTGTCAGAGTCGGGATCGAACCCACGACCTCCTGTATAACAGGCGAGGTAGTTAATACTTGCCACCGTGGCAGTCATAATGAATAATGCGTACGGTGTTAATCCTTGGCGCAGATAATTAGCAATACAATTAGAATATGTTATGGTTAATAACTAGTTTACATCACATTGATAATTCCTGTGATGTCATGACACCAATTTCAGAGGCCGGGTCAGGTGACACAGTTATTCTGACTTCCTGTATCTTTCCCCGAAGAAGCTCGGTACAGTTTCCAGCGAAACGTCGTTGGTATCTCTTCGCGAAATTCCATTGTGAGAATTGTTCTTCCAACTTAGCGGAGGAGGTGAAAACGGCAATAACCGGCGCGTCACATGCTTTCACGCCACGTTTGCCTGTATAGGGAGGTTGGGGGGGGAACTTATTCCTTACCGCACACGAAATTTTGCCCGAATCGCCGCATGGCCTCGCCTCCCAACGATCAATAACCGATGCACAAATGCGAGTGTGCTCCATACTCCTTTGCGAAGCGTGGGGTTGCTTTACTCACAGCATGGGGTTGTTTCTGGGCACCCAGTAGAGCAGGTCCTTCATCGTCATCTGCGAGCGGTCGGGGGCCGACTGGTGCTGCTCCCACGTGCGCCACGCCAGCTTGCGGGCAGCCTGCCCTCCACCACACGACACAAAGAGAAAAAGATCCCCACCCTGTTAGCGAGTAGCACCTACATCACCTACATGAAGGCCGGCCACCACGCACGGCCATCCGTTGACTCACCGGGTACTCACAACAACAACTGCCATTGCACCACTAAGTGGCGGTGACGTCACCACGGCGCTTGTGCCAGGCAATGTGCACTATAAGGCCGCCACGTGAAGTGTCGAATGCCCGCTGGCAGGTCACGGGGCATACCCAGGTGCCATGGGTTGATTGCCTGAGATGACCGGCCGATGCACCAACTCCCTGTGTTTTAGCCGCCCGGCGCTCCGCTCGTTGTTCCGAAACTTGACATGGCATAACTACTGCTGATGTCACTTTCAATAGGCCCCTCTATCCACTTTATCCACACAAGGGGGCACATCTTTTACATGTCCTGCCATGAGCGTTTATTGTATGTGAATCAAACAAACATTTTAAGCCTCACAGCCAGAATTTTACCAAATTAAGTGCACAGCTAAATGCAGAACCTGCACCTCCGATAAACACAGGTTGGCTACTACAGTGGGACAGAAGTTCAAGACACATACGTACAACAACATTTAATGTGATAATTGGTTTTTTACCCTTCTATCTGGCAACAAAACTGACACCTTTTTTACAAGGAGTCATGTTTGCATAGACCACAATACCTGCAGTCATAATGCAAACAAAAAACATAACTCTGATAATGTATGCACTGTCCTTGAAGTTGATTGGTCCACACCCGAGACAACTTTCCTTAGAGCCTAATCTCACATGGGTTGGACCAGATGACGCCAAAAGGTTCCAATGGGGGAACATTTAATGTGATGGATTTATTGTTCAGTCATTGGTGATGAGGCTGAGACCATCAACTCACCACAAGTAAGAACCCGGTTTAATCACAACTCAGTCTAAGGCTATCTATGCGAGTCTACGAGTCTAAGGTTCTTTATGTTAGTCTACGCATCTATGCGAGTCTGTGGGTTCGTATGTGAACCTATGGGTTTCTATATGGGGTCTCCATCCTTAGTGTTTTCACGGTACCTTCTTAGCCTCGGTCTTCTCAGCCAGCTCCCGAGCTGTCTTTTGCACCGTACGCGACGACTTTTTAAAGTTGGGCCTTGGTTGGGTCCTGCCAGCATTGGTCCCGCTCGCCCCTCCTCCGCCTCCCCCACCACCACCGGCACCACCGGCGGTCCCAGGCCGTGCCGAGCCATCTCGCGCGGTCACCACCGCCGTCCCGGAGTCGTCGTCGTAGTCGTCGTCGTCATCGGCTCCCGCCGGTGCGGCCTTCACCGACAATGCCGGCGGCTTCAGCAGGCTCTTCTTCAGCGACGCTAGCAGCTTCTTTGAAATCTCACTCCTGCTCGGCTCCGCAGGCCTGCCCGGCAAAGCTGCGGTGCTCCCGGGAGCTCCGGAAACCTCTGCTGATTGCGCTACCGGTGGCGTTTCGGCATCGGCTCCGATAGTAGCAGCACACTTCACTGCCCCGCTTGCCGGTTCCTGAGCGCTCACTCCAAGCTGTGCTAAAGTTACCGGGCCAGGAGTTTCACTATCCGTCACACGCCAGTCAGGCACCATTGGTGACCTTTCATATACCTCCTGTGCATGGTCCACCGCCTCCACTGCATCCGCACCCGAGGGGCCAACCGGTGAATATTGCGTCTCGCCGGTAGGCGGTTTGACGGGCAATGCCGGCGACACTTCACCGGATGCCTCACTGGTCGACAACCCCCACGGGTCACGAGGTCCTTCGACGGTGGCTGCGGCGGTGAGCTTGCTGGCGGTCCCATTCTCGGCAGGAAGCGAGGCCGGTGGTTTCTTGGCAGGACCGGCTGGAACAGGAGCGTGAGCGGCTGCCCGGGTGCGAGGGATGATCGGCGCGGCGGACAGGCGCTTACGGCGAGACTGCGGCAGCAGCTTTCCAGCGTCCGGTCTTGAGGGGGTGGCGGCGGCGGCAGCGGTGGCGGGAGCACGGGCGCTGTCAAAACAAAGGCATGAGATCGGAGCCACCCCCAGCTTCACACACCCGCAGGTTTAGTACGATCTAATAATTTCCACGTCCGACGCAGCGTGGAGCTTTCATCAAGCGGTGGATTCACCAAGGCCATAGATTATTTGTAGTATTACCCAGGAAACCAATGATGGAGTTTTAAAATATTATTTTTGAGGGTCCTGCTTTGGGATGATTGACCAATTCCATTCATTTATGTACAGGGTGCTTCAAGTTTTGTTTAACACTTATATAGGATTAACGTCTTTAATGGAAAACGGATAATACACTGTAACATGATAACAAATGTAATGTTAATAGCTTCAAAAAGTCTAATAGAGTCTCCACTTGTTCGCCATCATTGCCAACACATGCCTGGAATCTTCTCCCGGTGGTCTGCAGAAGCCTGGAGGCACATCTCGTGATATTGTTTAAAATTCTCGGAAGTGTTAACATTTTTTCCAAGCATCGTGTGTCATTCAGACACTGTCTTTCCGACAGACCTGTTCTTCACCTGAGGACGGCTGCTTGCGTTGTGGCCGAAACGTCGCGAGAATTATTTAATGTTTTATTTTTATTATTTTATTATTTCCCTTCTACGTGACTTTACCGAAAGAACCAAGAAGATGAATCCCTGCAGTCACGAAAGCTTTAAATCGAAATCTTAAAATATTGTTTTTGAGGAGGGACCTGCTTTGGTATGATTGACCAATTCCATTCATTTATGTACAGAGTGCTTCAAGTTTTAACACTTATACGGGACTAACGCTTATAATGGAAAAAGAACGGATAATACACTGTAACATGATAACAAATGTAATGCTAATAGCTTCAAAAAGTCCTAAAGAGTCTCCACTTGTTCGCCATCATTGCCAACACATGCCTGGAATCTTCTCCCGGTGGTCTCCAGAAGCCTGGAGGCACATCTCGTGATATTGTTTAAAAATTCTCGGAAGTGTTAACATTTTTTTTAAGCATCGTGTGTGTATATATATATGTGTACACCCATGAGATGAAAAAAGCCTTACATGCCAGAAAGGGCGAACACACACACACATCCGCAAAATTAGACCACAACCTAACTGCTGCACTGCATCATCACCCACGAATTGCAAGAATCCCCCCCCCCTGCCCATGACAGCCGTAGCAACTTGTTACCTCAAGAGCCACCAGCCAACCACCTCAGGCCAGCTGAACTTCACACGAGCGGAGGGTGATGTGACTAGAACCAGTGCCGGATTATCCTAGTCGCAAAAGTAGCTACACATGTAGCTACGGGCCCCGCACTTTAAAGGGCCCCGCGCTAAATGCTTTCAAGCTATCAATTCCGGTTCAGTGATTCTGCACTTGCTCTATTACTATAGTACTATACTGCCTTCAACTTTTATGAACGACTGGGTGTTTAAGGTTCGCGATTTGTCTATTATCTGGCTGTATATCAAATGAAAAAATACAATAACTTTACTGTGCAAGTAAAAATTTTGTATTTTAATGTTTAAGTGTTTTTATTTAGGGCCCCTTTATAATCGGGCACTGGCTAGAACCACGCCTTTGTCTCCCCAGTGACAATGTGTATACGACGCAACATCAGGGAACGACGCAACGAACGCCAGTGTCGACCTCTGCAAACTCGCACACCTGCGGTGGTGGCGCGCAGAAGCAGCAGCAGCAATCGACAACGTTGTGGCTTCTTCGAAGGCATCAGCAGATGAAGAAAGCAAATTGGAGTCAGGGCCCGGGCGCATTGGCTCATCTCCTGCCGTGGCGTGCTGCTGCGAGCGTGCAGCACTGCACGCAGCAGTAGATGATGCAGCAGCAGTAGTTGTAGGAGTAATTGCAGAAATAGTTTCAGTAAGAAGAGAAATAGCAACAGGTGGAGCAGTAACGGTATGAGCAGATGGCGGAGAATGTGCGGCAGGATTAGATGCAGCTGAATGTGCAAGGTCTGCAGAAGGAACTGCAGCACCAGTAGCAGCAAGAGTCGGAGGTACAGCAACAATCGAAGGGCTGGAATGTGGAGTGACAGAAGTGAGTGGGGCAGCTGAAGTAACAACGTCTGCATCGGTATCAACAGATGCAGCAGGCGTTGCAACTACATCAGCAGCAGCAGCGTTGTCATCTGCAGACGCAACGAGATTATCAGCACCCAGAGGAATCAAGACATCAGGAGCAACAGCTGCAGCAGTGGAAGCAACAAGACCAGAACTAGCAGCAGCGGTAGAGGCACCAGCTTCAGCAATAGGTGCAACTGAAGAAGCAGTGGTAGAAGTAGAAGAAACAGGAGCAGCAGGAGAAGCAATCAGTTTAGTAGGAGCAACAGCAGCAGCAGGAGTCGCAGTGGCCGGAGCAGCAGCAGCAGCCTCCTCCGGTAGCCGGCGTTCGGAGTCTGTCTCGACAGTCCGGCTTGGTGGTGTCCGTGACGTGGCGGCTTGAGTCTCTGGAGCTGCCGGCGTCGCCTCGGGAGCTTCCCCGGCTACCTCGGCTCCCTCGGCTTTCTGTCCCCCGCGGTCCCGGCTGCCTGACTCGACGATGCCGGCTCCCGCCCGGCCCGTGCTGGGACGAACGTTCGGCTTCACGCTGATTCTGGCGCGGCGAAGCATGGCGGATGGTATATTGTGTAGCTGTGTGAGAGTACACGTGTATGTAGGTGTGTGTGTCTAGGTGTGTGAGTACACGTGTATGTAGGTGTGTGTGTCTAGGTGTGTGAGTACACGTGTGTAGGTGTGTGTCTGGGTATATTGTGTAGCTGTGTGAGAGTACACGTGTATGTAGGTGTGTGTGTCTAGGTGTGTGAGTACAAGTGTGTAGGTGTGTGTCTGGGTATATTGTGTAGGTGTGTGAGAGTACACGTGTGTGTAGGTGTGTCGAGGTGTGTGTGTCTAGATGTGTGAGTACAGGTGTATGTAGGTGTGTGTGTCTAGGTGTGTGAGTACACGTGTGTAGGTGTGTCTGGGTATATTGTGTAGGTGTGTGAGAGAATACGTGTGTGGGTGTGTGTGTCTAGGTGTGCGAGTACACGTGTATGTAGGTATGTGTGTCTAGGTGTGTAAGTACACGTGTGTGTGTCTGGGTATATTGTGCGAGTACACGTGTGTCCCGGTATACGTATTGTGTAGGTGTATGAGAGTACACGTGTGTTTGTAGGTGTATGGACGCGTATGTTCGGGTGTACAACTGTGTGGAGGTGTCTGTGCGTGTCTATGAAAGAAGTGTTTGTATGATTGTGTCGTTATGCGTGTAGTTATTTATGACTGTACCGTAATAGCATTTGTATTCGTGTCTACGTGTATGTACACTATACTTTAAACGTATATGTACGTGCACATAGTTGTGGAGCTATTAAAGTGTATATGTGTCCATGTATATATTTCCGTATGTATGAGACCGACAGCTTTCGTGAGCGTCCAACGACCCCCCCCCCCCCCCCCCGAGGTGCGGGTCCCGGGTCCCCGCGGCTCGCCGGTCTCACATGACCGCGGGCAGGCTGCTCAGGAAACACGTAAGGCTCCGACGAGGCCTACCCGTATGAACACTCCAAATAAGGCTCAAACAACTCAAACGAGAGTCCCTTTGAGACGCGACGCCGACGACTCGCTCGTACCGACACTAGTTGCCGCCGATCGAGTTTAGTTTTTGTTCGCGTGTAATTGTTGTTACATTAAAAGCATTTTTGCACGAGAAAGCGTACGGGGAGTTACGCGGCAGGCTTAAGTAATGTGGGCCGCCATCCCACAATATCGCGCGGTACCTTCCCCCGCCCACATGCCCCGCCCATCACCGCCGCAACCAATGGGAGGTCGGCGTTGACGCGTGACGACATCACCGCGATTAGCATATAAGAGACTCGTCGACTTACGAACGTTCGACTTAAGAACGAATAGATCCGTCCCGTATGTTTCAGATTTGAAGCTTTCGTGGCTGCAAGGGTGGGGCTGGGTGCGGAGGGGCTGGTCACCCCGTGGTGCCCTTATAAAACTCAACGTTTAACCTACTCACGCCGGCTTGTGCCCGCCCTCACAGTCGGGCATATTTGCGGAATACACCACGCCGCCGTTGACCCTGGCCATTGACCGAGCAACCCAACGTTCCTACCGGCTCCCTCCGCAGGAATGTGTTTCCATTATTGTTAGCATATTCTCGTTAATTGCGAATATATTCTCGTTAAGAACTGCTAGTTGTGTTCTAGATTGTCGTCCTTCCCCCGCACCTCCGATTCGCACGGTTGGCTACGTACGGTGCGAAAGAAGTTCACATACTTACAATTTCTCTTCTTGGTTCTTTCGGTAAAGTCACGTAGAAAGGAAATAATAAAATAATAAAAATAAAACATAATAAAATAACTCTCACGACTTTTCGGCCACAACGCAAGCAGCCGTCCTCAAAAACGTCGTGAGAATTATTTTATGTTTTATTTTTATTATTTTATTATTTCCCTTCTGCGTGGCTTTACCGAAAGAACCAAGAAGATGAATCCCTGCAGTCACGAAAGCTTTAAATAGAAATGTAATACTTACTATTTGACTCCAGTTAACATACCTATCGCTTCTTTTCCACTGCAAGAGTCCCTTAAAAGTGAATTGCCGGGTTGAACATATCCACATCCTCCTCTCGAGTACCCGATTAGTGCGGCCGTGTTACTTGCAGTGAGGGATCAAGTGTTGGTCGTGGGGACGTGTCAGTGTGAAAGTGTCCACTGTGGCCCCGCGTGCCCCTACACAATGATGTCAGAATCAGAATACTGACACTGCAGGAGGAATACAATGAGCTATAAAGCTCTTTGTTCACACATGTCCATACTCTTAGTTTTTTTTCGGTAAAGTCACGTAGGGGAAAAATAAAATAATAATAAAAAATACAAATAATAATAGAAATAAAATATTTATTTTACTTTAATAATTATTTTATTTTATTTCTATTATTATGTCTATTATTTATTATTTAATTTATTTTTACCTACGTGACTTTACCGAAAACACCTAAGACTATGATTCCTTGCAGTCACGAAAGCTTCAAATCTAGAACACATATGTCCAGTCGGGTAGGATTAGAAAGTTGCAACAACAAACACGATATGAGTGCAAAGCGTAGGAGCGGGTAAGCAAATCACGCACAAAAAAAACCTCAAACTATTTTTTTTTCAAGGTAAGGTCCACTGAGCTATGAGTTTCATTTTTTAAATCCTTTATATTAAGTTCACTTGCTTGCTTGCTTGCGCGCTTACGACCGTGCAAATCTTTCGGTCGTTTTTAATCCACTTCCCGTGATCAAATCGAGCTGACATTTTGCACACAGACTCGTTGTGCGTGACAATTTATTTTCGTGAAAAGAAATTCCAAACTTTTCCACTTTTCGGAAAAAATAAATTTCATATTTAATTTAAAATACCAATGTGATAAAAATGAAACTCTTACTCAAGAAAAACTGAAATGAATAATAAAATAAAACCGATGCCACGCATATAAAGGATTTATAGTGAAAAACTTTGTTTTTACTGGTTAATTTTTCAAAAACGTCCTCGCCACTAATGATGGCTCAACAAAGTGTCGACTTATCACGTGGAACTTTATGGCAGGCAAATTATCTCGATTACTTTCGGTGGGTTAATGATCACAGCCTTGTGGTTTGCATGAAGGAGTTGAATTCAAGAGAGGAGAGAGGGGGGGGGCCACTCAGAAACACAGAACTCAATCACTTTTATTGAAGAGGACTCTGTAACGCGTTACAACGGCCACCACCACGACCACCACCACCACAACACTCGTCACAAACAGAGAACAACTCTGGCTAATTTACGCGTCGGCAGCGACATCCGTTTTAAATATACAGGATGCTTCAAAAAATGTTAACACTTCCGAGAATTTGCAACAATACCACGAGAAATGTGCCGCCTTCGGGCTATGGAGACCACCTGTAGAAGATTCCAGGCAACGCGTTGACAACGATGGCGAACAAGTGAAGACTGTTTTGACTTTTGAAGCTATTAACATACATTTGTTATCATGCTACAGTGTATTTATTATCCGTTATTTTTCCAATAAAAACGACAGTCCCATATAAGTGTTAACATTTTTTTGAAGCACGCTCTTTATTATTTTAAAGTCCAGCATCCTGCTCGTGGCTCCAGGTCGGTGCGGGGGGGGGGGGGGGGGGGTGACCCACTCCGTTCCGGGTTTTTCAGCTAAAGGCGCGAACCGTGTAGGGGGGGAATGCAAAAAAAAGTTTAACGATAAAGTTGACCGGATTCTAATCCGGGGTGGCCTTCAGTCGCCCCCCCCTCCCCCCGCGTTGGTTAAAACCTGGAGTGGATTTGTGGTCGCACCGATCCGGATCCGCGCACCGAGCACGTGGTTGAAGCATTAAACGCAAGTCGGGGTAAACGAACACTCGGTTAGCACAACGCGCAGCGATAAAGTGCACGGACGAAGAAGGCTTGCGCAATCTAAAAAGGGTGGCGCGGCTTTAAAAAAGCCACAAAGACACGAGCCGCCGGACTGATTTCCGCCCAACCCACGAAACCCACCCACCGCTTCTTCCTGGGAAGAACATCCAAATGTGCATTGCGCACATTTGGAATCGGCGAAAGCCTCGACCCTGCCGGTGACATCGCAGACCCCCGGCATTGCAACGCGAGAGAGACCTGGCACGAAGAGGCGGGGGGGAGGTTGAAGCACACAATAAGTTACACGTCGCAAAAAAACCCGCGAACGAACGTCACGTGCGGTTATCGCCACCGAGCGATCGCGTGCGGCGGCGAGCGCGGACACGCACGGGACTGGCAAGAAGGCACGACGGGCACCTGCGCCTACCCCAAGCCACGACTACAATTCATAAGGCGGTCGTCACTGGCGTCGCTTGAGAGCGCACTTAATTAATGAACCTTTAATTACGACAGAAGCCACAGACCCCCCCCCCCCCGCCTGCGCCCGCCCCGAAAGAATGCCTCCCATTAATATCCTCGATGAAGAAACTGAAAGTCCGTAATTGGTGAAAACATCCAGAATTTAGGGTGGCAGCCCTCCTCCTCCGCCTCTTCCTCCAGAGCAGTTGTCAGATAACAACATTTTCAGAGCCCACAACGAGGATCGCCTTCAGGTTTTGCCTGTGCGTCCCATCGCACCCAAGCAGCCCATGATCTGGCACCATCACATTTCCCATCCCATTTCGGCTCATTCTGATGGGGGGGGAGGCGGGCGACCTACGCAGGGAAACGTTTAGAAAGTGACGCCGCTGTCGTCCATGCCGGGGTGACCGCCGTTCACCGGCGGCTTTACGCGCGTGCCGACGACTCCTGAGGTCGTGACGAACGCCCGGCACGAGGCTTCCGCGTGAACGCCAAGTGCAAGGTAGCAGGAGAGCCGTGAAGTACGCGCGCGTTGACAATTATTTTGCGCCGTACGCGGGCAAACCGTGCTGTAATCCGGGGGGGAGGGGGGGGCTGTGAGAAGCAGCCTCAACGATTCACGACATTCACCGAGGTTCAGTGTCTACGATTTAACATCGGCGCGAACGAATGTTACTGGGGGGGGGGGGGGGGGGGGAACGGAGTCTAATTTCTCTTTGGCTAATCTGTGATACGCAATCCCTGGGCAACCGAGCGCAGGGGGGGGGGGGGTGGTCGCTAGGGACGAGAGTCCCCGCACTTCAGACAAAAAGGCACCACACAGCGCCTGGTTTCCTTTATGCCGTTCAACTATTACGCAAACACACACACACAAAGATCCCCCGTAGAGCCTTTGCAAGGACTGTTGGGGCAAAGTGCTATTAGCGAGTAGCACCTACGAAGGTCGACAGAGCGCGACAAGGGGGTGGGTGGGTGGCCAACATCATGCACGGCCGCCTTTGTCTCCCCAGTGCTGATGTTTGCACACCGCAGCAGGTGTTCACTTCGGGGGGACCCAGGAGCGGTTCCAATGAATCGCCGCTGTTATTGGTCGTGAGCGGGAATCGAACTCTGGTTGCTGGCTTCATAGCGCAGCGTGCTAACCACTGCGCCACCACCCCCACCCCCCCTCCGCCACTACTTAGCTGATTGATCTCGCGCGCACCGACACACATTCGTATATGAGCTTAGACACGGTGTTAGACACGGTGTTAGACACGGTGTTAGACACAAGGACAAAGACACGAGATAAAGACACGTGCCCCCAAATCCCGACCCGTAGTAGTAGCGTCAGCAGCAGCATCAGCAGCAGCAATATTGTTAGTGCCTTTCCTTTTTTTCGCAGTGCAATCTTTAAAGTTTAGCTGAATATTGCTTTTGCGCTCTGTAATTACGTGTTCATTTGCATGCACATTTTCAAGACGTCAGAATCACCATCGCGGTGCTGATTATTATTGTTGTTATTATTAGGCAGCAGCAGTAGTAGGGGGTGTTGTTGTGAGAACACACAACTAAACACCTCAAGGGAAAAATCTCGTAATAAAGTAATTTTTTTGGGGGGGGGGGCATTAGAACGCAGGGGCACGAGAACACGGCAAGAGGCGCGGCTACCTGATGCTCAGTGATAGACGGTTAGCACTGTTCGACGCAACTTCGGAGTCTCGGCTGATGGCACGATTTGCGCGTTTTGCATAGCTCCGCTCGGCCGCTCTCGACCTGGGACTTTTGTTTCCGCGAGCTGGACGAGGCACGGGTTTGAGGTTTGAGGTCGATCCTTCCGGAGTTTGGCGTTGGTCGTCACTCCGGGGGTGGCAAACCTCCCCCACCACCCCACTCCCGGCACAAGCGGGCACCGACTGTCGCCACGGATATGGGCATATCGCCGCGGCGGCGTCGCGAAGACGGGCCGGCCGCGTCGCCCGCTGTCAACCGCAATCGGCTGCACCGAGAGATACGACGAGGGTGCCGTTTTTTTGTGATTCGCCGAGCGCGCCGGCGTCGACGGACATAACACGTGGGAGGGGAGAGAGAGAGAGACAAAAAAAAGTTACGAGATGAAATTAAGGTGGTGGGGATTTCTCGCAGGGCGAAAAGGTCGTTTTTTTAGCAGCACCTTCGGCGGTGGCGGTGGACCACCCATCACTCACCGCGTTCGCCATTTCCACCAACTTAGAGAAAGTAAAAAAAATATTCCCTCCACTCGGCTGATGTTTCAAGCAAAGGCCCCGATTCAGAGCGAGGGCTTTGTTCGATCAGAAAAAATAAGCAAACTAAACAAAAAAAATAATAACGACCACAACAAGACACACCCGTCTCTCACCCACGCAAGCCCCAGGCTCACACGGAGACCCACAGACTCACGTGGAGACCAAGATAATCACATAGAGACCCACAGACTCACACAGAGACCCACAGACTCACACAGAGACCCACAGACTCACACGGAGACCCACAGATGCACCGAGACCCACAGTCTCACATAGAGACCCACAGACTAACATAACGACCCACAGACTCACATAAAGACCCATAGACTCACATGGAGATCCATAGACTCACATAGAGACCCACAGCCTCATATAGACACTCATAGACTTACATGAGACCCACAGATGTTTTTTTTTTTTAACAGGCCCAAAATTAATTTCCCGCGCGGCTGCAGTCAGACACCGTTCACGCCCGGCCGTGCCGACAGCGGCGGCGCGGCTCCCCTCTTGCCGACGCCGCCGGCTCCACCGGTACCGTCGGCGCAGCCCCCGCCGTCGGCCACCTCCAGCTCCAGCCCGCCGCCGCCCAGAAACGCGAACACGGGGAACACGGGGCCCGAGCAGTCGACCGGCATCTCGCAGAGCCGGGTCGCGCCGCCGCCGTCGGCGTCGTAGAACGCCACCGTCCCGGCGCCGTGGTCCAGGCACACGCCGAGGCGCGCCGGCAGCGCCGACACGCGCGCGTTCCGCCCCCGGAGGCCGCAGCGCGTCGCGGCGTCCCCGGCGCCGACTTGGGCGCGGAGGCGGAACGAACGAGGGGCTTCGCGGCTCGCTGGGAGCGGGCGGAGGTGGCGCGTGGCGCCGGCTGCTGCTGCGGCTGCTGCTGCTGCTGGCGGTGCTGCGGCGACGCCGACGCCGGCGCCTGCGGTGCCGCCCGGGTCGTGCCCTTGGCGGGAGAGGAGGGGGGGGGGCGCGGGCAGCTGGGCCCAGCTGGGGGCCACCACCTGACCCATGCCCACGGAGACGAAGGCGCAGGAGGGGGCGGCCGAGGGGGGCGGCCGAGGGGGCGGCCGAGGAGGGGCTGTCCGGCTTGTGCCTGCGGGCGGCGGGGGGGCAGTGGCAGAATCGTCGTCATCGTCGTCATCGCCGTTGTGCTGATCGTCATTGTCTTCATCAAATCAAATATCAGCATCATTATCATCATCATTGTGATAATCCTCATGTTCAGGATCGCCGTCATCATTATCTTGATAATCATCGTCATCATCATCATCATCATTCTGAGCAACATCGTCATCCCGTAATTGTCATCGCCCATGTCCTGATCGTCATCGTGCATGGTGCGAAAGAAGTTCAACAAACATACGTATAACTTCCTGTTAATCGTCATCATCATCATGGCTCTCACCCAACGAAGCTTTAAACTCGTGTGGGACAGCCCGGGACACACGGCCTACGCATGCATCTACACGGTGAGAGGTGTACGTGCGTACATTCACCAGCTGACAGCCATAAGCTCTGAAAGACAATACAGCCACCGATCAGAATTCTCTTTGGGGCTAAGGTGATGCTGTATTGCCTAGGGGAATGCCCCTTATGGCAGCTGTCCTGCACGGAACCGGCAATTGGCATGAGCCTGCCGGTAGGGTCGGGGGGAAGGCGATGATCGCGGTGCGTTTTCCAATTAGGAGTAATTTTTGTTGGGTCATTTTTGACGAAATAGATTTTTTTTTTTAAGTAAAAGACCGTGACACGTGGCGCAGATGGCCTGCGATGTTTGCGGGGACCACCCACGAGCGTTAGCGCCGCTCACCGAACGCCCTTCCCCCCGCGCGGCCGCGTCCTTGCCGCCGGCGCTGCCTTTGCCGCCGCCGGTGACGGCACGACGCAACCAGCACCGCAGAGCCTCCGGCGCCGCCACCCCGACGCGCACCAGGAAGCTGCTAGGCCACACGCGCACCACCCAGAAGTGGCGCCCGCCTCTCACGGCCGCGTCCCCGGCGATGAACGACAGCGGCGCCAGCGGGCCGGCGGTGCCGGCGGCGCCGTTGACGCCGTCCCCGTGGCAGCGGTGCGGGTCGTCGTTGTCGCCGGCGCTACTGCTGCCGGCGCTGCCCCCGGCAAGCCCCTCGGACGCGAGCAGAGCGGGCAGCCCGACGACGCTGTCGACGCTGGCGCGGCGCGGGGAGAGGACGAGCCGCTCGCGCTCGTAGCCGCAGTCGTCGTCCAGCAGGAAGCTGAAGACTGGGACGAGGGAGACGAGGGAGAGTCGCGGCAACACAGCGCCGCTCGCTCAAAGACCTCGGCGTTTCCAAGCGCCGTCAAACCCCCCTTCACCCCCCCCACCGTCGCGTCCCATCTCAGCCGTCCCCAAGCCTCGCCGCGGTCTAGCCGAGGCGGGCGCCACCGGTGTGGCAGCCGTCCCCGACTTGCAGGCTCACGCCCACTCACAGGCCGGTGCCGAATCACTTTGCGCCGCGCAGGGGACAGCCCTTCGAGTGACCGAGATGAGGATTTGATGCCAGGCACCTTGACATTTAAGCAAGCGGCACTTGAAACGCAGAGATTGCCACGATTCTTATTCTTGTTAGTACGCGTGCCAACGTGCACGCGACGTGCGTGCCAGCGCGCGCAGGCGCCCGCCTACCTTGCGCCGGCGGCGCCGCCATCGTCATCTCCGCGCTGAACGCGCTCGCTCCGGCTGCGTTGACGGCCCGGACTCGGACCGTGAGGTCCACGCCGGGCTGGACTCCCGTCACCACGTGGCTCGTGCTCCGGATCCCGTCCACGCGGCTCCACTCCGGGTCGTCGACGTCATCTCCGCTAGCCGGATCCGGGGTGCCGCGGTCCGGGACGGGCGACGGGCGGCGCCGCGGAGGGGGCCGGAACTCGAGCTGGAACCGATCGGCAGGAGCGGAGCCCTCGGGGAGAGACCAGCTCACCTGGGCGTCCTTGTAAATGGCGCTGCGGCTCGGGTCCAGCACCGGCGTCTCCGGGGCTGGAACACAAACCGCGGGGGGGTTCACCGTCACCACTTCACTGTCACCGCCGTTTAAATCCTCACCGGCGGTTCACCGTCAAAATCGCCGATTCATCATCACCGTTGCCGGTTGATCATCACCACTGGTTCGTCACCGCTGGTTCATCGTCAACGCCGGCTCATCGTTACCATCGCCGGTTCATTGGCACTGCCGGTTCATCGTTACCATCGCCGGTTCATCGTTACCATCGCCGGTTCATTGGCACTGCCAGTTCATCGTTACCATCGCCGGTTCATCGTTACCATCGCCGGTTCATCGTTACCATCGCCGGTTCATTGGCACTGCCGGTTCATCGTTACCATCGCCGGTTCATTGGCACTGCCGGTTCATCGTTACCATCACCGGTTCATCGTTACCATCGCCGGTTCATTGGCACCGCCGTTTAAATCCTCCCGCTACGTTGGGGATGTCTGGCCAGTTCCACTTTGGGGCGAGCGCTCGGCGCTTCGGGTGCAGGGAGGGCAAGGAAACCGGGGGGAGCCCGGAGAAAACCCAGAGCATACACGAGGGGGGTAGCGCTCGAACGTCTACGCGGTCGGGGGGCTGGGAGGGAGGGGGGGGCTGGGGGGGAGGGAGGGGTGGTTTGCCAACGCGACTGCCGCATCGCCGCCAATCGCCGGGCCGCGTCGTATCGCGGGCCAGTCGGGGTTAGACACGCATCTGCAGTGCGGCTCGGCCGCGTGGACGAGCCGCAGCGTGGTCCACGGTTGGACGTTGCCACGCGATGTTCTCGAGGTGCGGCGGTTGCCGTCGTGTGCCGGCGTGGCGGTCCACATTTGGTGAATCTACTCACGAAATCGATCGGTCGCTGGGGGAATCCGCCGCAGAGCGAACATCGCCCGCTACCGGCAGGCGGTCGACACTTCACGTGGCCTTCAAGTACACCCAGCCTGGCGCAAGCGCCGTGGTGACGTCACCGCCACAAAGTAGCGAATGGCGGTTGTTGTTGTGGTGGTGGTCCCTGTGGTGAGGGTAGTGGAGGTGGCAGTGGCTGTGGTGGTGGCGGCGGTGGTGGCTGTGGTGGTGGTGGCGGCGGCGGTGGTGGCTGTGGTGGTGGTGGTGGTGGCGGTCGCGGTGATGGTGGTTGTGGTGGTGGTGGCTGTGGTGGCTGTGGTGGTGGTGGCGGCGGTGGTGGCGGTGGTGGTGGTGGCGGCGGCGGTGGCGGTGGTGGCTGTGGCGGTGGTGGTGGCGGCAGCTGTGGTGGTGGTGGCGGTGGTGGCGTTGGTGGGCCCTCACCCTTGAGGAAGTCGAGGGAGCCCAGCAAGGCTTGTTCCCGAGCCACGTCCACCGTGAACCCCGAGAATGACGCGTCCACCACATCCGCCTCAAACGACTTGAAGCGATCCGTCGCCCTCATGATCCTGCGGGATCACAAAGACAAAGGTGCCCCGTGTAGCCTCCAACAGAACGTCGGGGGCAAGTGCTGTCAGCGAACACCGATGAAGGCCGGGACGGCGCGCACGCGGAAGTGGGTGGGGGCAGGACAGCACCGCACCCGGCCGTCTTTGTCTCCCCATTGGTGATGTTTACAGGCTTCACCAGGTGCTCATTTCAAGCCGAGTGAACCCGATGGGAGGCCCAGGACCGGTTCAGGTATCTTCGTCACCGATGTTGGCCGCGAGCGAGGATCGTGTGTGTGCGTGCGTGCGTGTGTACGTGTTTGCGTGTGTGTGTACGTGTGTACTGTGTACGTGTGTACTATGTGTACTATGTGTACGTGTGTACTATGTGTACTATGAGTACGTGTGTACGAGCACGTGTGTGTGCGTGCGTGTGTGTGTACTACGTGTACATGTGTTCTATGTGTACTATGTGTACGTGTGTACGTGTGTACGAGCACGTGTATGTGTGCGTGTACGTGTGTGTACGTGTGTGCATGTGTGCGCATGTGCGTGTACGCGTGTGCGTATACGCGTGTGTGCTTGGGTGTGTGTACGCGCGCGCGTGTGTACGTGTGCGTGTACGCGCGCGTGTCGCCGCCGCGTCTACCTGCTGTGCAGCAGCTTGGCGGTCTGCATGAAGCAGGAGGGGTCGCTCTCCTTGAGGAACTCGCGGGCGAGGCCCACGAGCCCCGAGCTCTGCAGCAGCTGCTCGCACTCGGAGTGCTGCGCATGCAGCCGGCACGCGACGTCGTCGCGGCAGCCCTCCAGGCGGTGCGACATGGCCGCGCGCCGCGCCCTCACCGCCTCCTCCAGGCCCCCGAAGGCCTCCGTGACGCTGCGCGCCGCGAGATCGCCGCCCGTCTGCACGCACACGGGACGGACAGACGGACATGCAGACGGACATGCGGACGGACACGTGGACGGACACGCGGACGGACACGCGGACGGACACGCGGAACGGACGGACGGACACGTGGACGGACACGCGGAACAGGCGGACGGACGGACACGTGGACGGACACGCGGACGGACACGCGGAACGGATGGACGGACAGACACACGGATGGACACGCGGACGGACACGCGGACGGACACGCGGACGGACGGACGCATGCGTGGACGCGCGGATGTTATGTGGACAGATGCACGCACATGCCAGTGGACGCGCGGACACGCTGAAGGACTGATGAAGACAAAGATCCTTCGTATAGCCTTAACAACTATAAACACAACCAGACAGAAGACAAGGACAAAGATGCCCCGTGTAGCCTTAACAGACTGTAGGGGCAAGTGCTGTTAGCGAGCACCTACGAAGGCCGGCACGGCACTCGAGGGGGTGGGTGACCAGCACCACCTTTGTCTCCCCAGTGGCGATGTTTTTACACACTGCACCCTGTACTCATTTGAGACTAAGTCGACCTAGGGGGGACCGGTTCAGATAATCGTCACTGGGTGTTGGCCGTCAGTGGAAATCCAACTCGGGTCGCCGGGTTCGCAGCGCGGCGCACTAACCGCTACACCACCGCTGACAGACACACGTACACACAGATGCAGTCAACAACAACCGCCGCCATTTGCCACGAAGTGATGGTGACACCACCACAGTGCTTGTAAACCAGGCTAGGTACACCTTCAAGCCACGCCAAGTGTCCACGGCCCACTGGCACGCGGTGACGGGACAGACCCAGGTGTCACGGGGTAACAGCTGGGCTGAGACAAATGCAGAGACGGAAGAAGAGTTCACACGGACGAAGGAATAGACAGACGGAAGGGTGAGTGGAGGAAGAGTGCAAAGTGGAATGACGGGGGGGGGGGGGAAGGATGCAGGCGACAGAACGTGGGACCCACGGCCAAATGAGACAGACGAACAAATAATGGCGGGAGGACATGCAGTTGAGGACAGCCACAGAGGTGGAATGACAAACACGTGGATGGGCACAATGGACCGGACACAGGAATAGAACAAGGACAGACGGACGAGATGACGCACGGACGCACGCGCGTACGTTCGCTTAAACTTCTTCACCACCGCGCGTGGTCCGCCGCTCGGACGGCCGCATGACCCCGACGACGGATGGGCGGGTGGGGGAGCGGGGGGGGGGGGTCTGGGACGCCGATCGATAAGCAAAGCATCGCACCTCCGTGTCCTTGATCAGAGTCTCGATGACTCCCAGCTGCTCCTTCACCTGGTCCTCCTTGCTCACCAGCAGGTTGATGCTCTTGGCCAATTTCTCCTGGCAGCGCCGACGAGGGAGAGACGAGAAGAAGCAGCAGCGGGAGGGAGGGAGGGAGGGGTGGGGGAGGGGGGTTAGAGGTGATGCCACAGGATAAGATGTGAAGTTTAAGCCGTAACAATGTGCTTGATGCGAATTCGATTTGGTGGGGTCACCTTTTTACGAAATTAGATTTAGCGGAGGGTCACCTTTTTATGAAATTAGATTTAGTGGGTTTACCTTATTATGAAGATTTAGCGAGGTGGCTACGACCGTGCAGACCCTGCCACGTGGCACTGCGCATCGCGTGAGTATCAGAAATAAACTAAACGATAAAAACTAAAACTTGATTATTATTTTTTTTACTACCAGACAAGGCCCACTTGAGCTGTGACGTATTCAGAAGCGACCTGGCTTTCACAAATGATAGCTCAACGAAGTGGCCTCATCACGTGGACATTTACAGCAGCCAAGAAGATGTTCACGACTATGACGATGACGACATTGACGATGAAAATGACTGTGATGACGTTGACGACGACTCAAGTCGATGACCGACACGACGAGGATGATGACGACAACGACGGTGGTGACAACGGTCACCATCGTGACGACAACAATCGTGAATATTACAATGACGACCCCAACGATCGCGACAATTGTAAGAATCGTGCCGAAGCTCGTGGCGAGGCCGACGATGAACGTGAAGACAACGAGCGGGACGATGACGGTGACAACGATTGCAACGACGATCGTCGTGACGATCACGACGACGACTACGACGACGACAATCGTCATGACCACCGCTAAGATGATCGTGAAGATGACCTCGACGATGACTGTTATGACAACTGCGATGACGAACGTCGTGACGACCGCGACGACCACGACGATCGTAACGACTGTCGCGACGACCGCGACATCGATCATCGCAACGACCGCAACAACGACGACGATGGCGGCGGTCCCCTCCGCGTCGTCATCGTCGTCGTCACGTGCCCACCTTGAGCGCCTTGTAGGCGCTGTTGATGTTGGTGACCTTGTGGTTCGCGTGAATGCCGGCGAGCTTGCACAGGTGGCACACGGGGCGGCGGCAAACCTCGCAGTACATGTTCACCTTCTCTGCCTCGTGCTCCGGGCACATCAGCACCTACGGGGGTGTGGGGGGCACGGGGAGTGTGGGGGGCACGGGGGGTAAGCAGGGAAGCGGTGGCGCGAGGCTTCTCAGGCCACAAGGGAACTGAGCAAAGAGCCGAGGGCCCCGAGTTGCTGGTCAAGGGGGTCCCCCCCACCCCCCCCAGGCTCAAGCAAATCTACACAAGTCGGACCAAATGTAGCGCGCTTTCAGAGCCGGGTAAACGTAACAAGCGAAACATTCTAAGCATTCTAAGAACGTAGAGAAGGTTCGGGGCGGGGGGTGGGTGTGGATCTAGCTCAAGCACGTGGGGGGGGGGCGGAGCGACGTCACGATCACAACGCACGACCCCCCCCCCCCACGCGGTCGCTTCGTCGTGTCCGTATCCTGCCGATGTGGGGGGGGATGGTGGAGAGGGGGGTGGTGGAGAGGGGGGGGGTGGGTGGGTGGAGAGGGGGGGGGAGTCGGGGGGGGGGGTGCCTGACGAGCCGCCCTCGCGCCCGCGCGCCCCGTCCCCACCTTGGGCCGGAAGTTTTTGGTGGGGCCGATGTACTCGTGCGTGGCCTTGGGCGTGTTCCACGGGTGGTGCACCTTGAAGCACTCGTTGCAGTAGCTCTTGCGGCAGTCCAGGCAGCTCTTGGTGGCCTCGGTCGGCGGAGGGTAGCACAGGTCGCACATCACGGCTGTCGCGGCCCTGGCTGCCTGTAGGTGGTGGCGGCGGGGGGTGGCGGTGGTGGCGGCGGTGGGTGGCGGTGGTGGTGGTGGTGGTGGTGGTGGCGGGGGGTGGCGGTGGTGGTGGTGGCGGTGGAGGAAGTGGTGGTGGGTGGCGGTGGGTGGTGGTGGTGGTGGCGGTGGGTGGTGGTGGCGGCGGTGGTGGTGGTGGTGGCGGTGGGTGGCGGTGGTGGCGGTGGGTGGCGGTGGTGGCGGTGGTGGTGGTGGTGGAGGAAGTGGTGGTGGGTGGCGGTGGGTGGTGGTGGTGGCGGTGGGTGGCGGTGGGTGGCGGTGGTGGTGGTGGCGGTGGCGGGGGGGTGGCGGTGGAGGAAGTGAAGGCGACGGTGGTGGAGGTGGCAGTGAAGGTGACGTAGGCAATGGTGGCGGTGGAGGAAGTGAAGGCGACGGTGGTGGTGGTGGTGGAGGTGGCAGTGAAGGTGGCGGTAGTGAAGGTGACGTAAGGCAATGGTGGCGGTGTTCACGGTGGTGGTGGTGGTGATGATGATGGTGATGGTGGTGGTCATGGTGGAGGTGCCAGTGGTGGTGACAGCAGAGGAAAGGGGCGTGCAATGAAACAAACGCCCCTTGCCAACAACGCAGCTGGGATGGTGCAGGCTGTGCCCCAGCGCTCTGGGGGCACGGGGAGGGTGACATGGCGGGGGTGACATAGGGGGGGGGGCAACACGGGGGGGGGTGACACGGGGGGGAGGGGACATGGGGGGGGGCAACACGGGGGGGGCGACATGGGGGGGGCGACACGGGGGGGGGGGGGGGGCGACATGGGTGGAGGGGCGACACGGGGGGAGGGGGGGGACAAGGGCGCCCGCACCGCTGTGCAGCTCTCCCACGATGTCCGGCGTTTCGATCCACGCACCGAGAGCTCCGTCAGGAACTCAATTCATTCGGAAACTTGGGGGAGCGAAATGGCAGGCGGACAGCACGCTGCACAGCCCGATAAGCGAGACACCGAGGCCCATTCTTGACCTAATTGCAACAGTCCCCTCTTGTTGTTGTTATTCTCTCATTCCATCGTTTCATTTCACTTCCCCATTCGCAACACTCAGCAAATAATGTCCCGTAAAATGTTCTTCAACAACCGATTTACGAAAGACGGCGCGCAGCTGCTTTTCCTTGTGCGCATCAACGTCGATGACTTTGATAGACTTTGATTGACGGCGATAGACTTTGATCGAACTTTAATTAACATCGATCGAAGTCGACTTTGATCGACGTCGATGACTTTGTTTGACGTCGATAGACATTTATCGACTTGTATTGACTTTAATTGACGTCGTTCGACTTCGCCGACGCGTAGGCGCACTACCGCCCCCCCCCCCACTAACCCCCACACCCCGCCCCCCAACACCCCCCCACCCCCCACCCCCCCGCCCCTGTTGGACAACCCGCCTGTCGGAATCGCTCCACGATGGTCTCCAGCGTGAAGTTGCGGAAGAGGCCGGCGATGCCTTTGGGCCCCAGGTCGACGTCGCAGTCGCAGGCCGGGCACGGGAACGAGCAGCCCCCGCGGGGGCCCGGGCGGGCGGGGCGCAGCGGGGCAGCCGTCAGGTTCACAAGGGATTCTGGGTAGACGGTGGGCGGGGGGCGGCGGTATGGGGAGCGTTAATTTTGTTCGTTTAAATTATTCGCCCATCTGTGGGTGATCCGTCGAGTGTTGTTATCTCCTGGCGTGAGTGCTGGGGGGTTTTCTCCGGCTTGGTTTTTCGGGGTTTTCCTGCCACGCGACGCCAAACGCTCATCGCTCAAGAAACTCAACACGGGATCGGCCAAAACATCGCGGTGGAGCGGTGCCCTCCCTGGAGAAAGTGGCAGAGAACTCTGTGATGTATTCCTAGGTAAACAAAAAAGTGCATCCACCCGTATTTTGTCATCGTCGTCGTCGTCGTCGAACGTTCCCACCGGCCGTGTCGGAGACACCGCTAGAGGAGAGCGAGCGAGCCGTGGTTCGGGGGGCGCCGCAGTTCGCCAGAAGGGACGATCGATCGCCGATGGCCGAGGGAAAAGGGAAGGCAGGTAAAAAAAAAACCGAGTGGCAGCCAAGGAATGGAACCGCCTCTTCGAGGATGACCGACCACCGAGGTGGATGGAGAGGTTAAATCAATTCCAGGTGCCGTACGGATATATTGTGTCGCAGGTTCGCGAGAGGTTGACGACGATAATGACGATGATCATCGGTCGGGGTGGGGTGGGGGAGAGGGGGTCGCGACGTGACAGTCGGACGGTTCGCAGCCTCCGGACGTGTGGATCAGCAGCGAGGAGGAGCGGAGGACGCTAGACCACGCACGCCACCCACACACAACCCACGCACGGACGCTCACACACACACGCCGCCCACGCACGGACGCTCACACACATTCCCGCAGGAGACACGGAGCTCCCACTCGGCGGGGCCTCTCGACCTGCTCGCGTCATCCATTCCGATCGTGTTAATACGCGCACGCACACACACCACACGTACACACACACACCACATACGCACACACACACACCACACGCACACACACACACCACACGCACACACACACACCACACGCACACACACACCACACGCACACACCACACGCACACACACACACCACAAGCACACACACACACCACAAGCACACACACACACCACACGCACACACACACACCACACGTACAGAAACACACAGAGTTCCCCCAGTGTAGCCTTCACAGATTTTTGGGGCAGTGCCGTGAGCGAGCACCTCTGAAGGCCGGCACGGCACACGAGGGGCTGGGTGGTCGGCACCACGTCTGACCACATTTGTGTCCCCAGTGGCGATGTTTACACAGCGCACCAGGTACAGTTCTCATGTGAGGCCGAGTCGACCTAGGGGAGGCCCAGGACCGGTTCAGCAAATCGTCAGCGATGGTGGCCTTGAGCGGAGTTCGTAGCGCAGCGCGCTAACCGCTACAAACACGATCGCTCCCCACGGCACACACAAACAGAAACACACACACAGACATGTACACAAATAGGCACACATACACACAAATAGGCACACATACACACAAACAGAAACACACACACAGACGTGCACACAAACAGGCACACACACACAAACAGAAACACACACACAGACGTGCACACAAATAGGCACACACACACACACACAAATAGACACACACGCTGTACCCTGTAACAGGATTTGAGGCCAACAGTAACGAGCGAGTGACAGTGGCGTTGATTGTGTTGTCATGAGCGGGGGCTTGTTGGGACTCGGTGCGAATTAGCGTGGAAGAGGTTCAGGTATGCAAGCGCTTGCGCTTATAAAGCAAACCCGGGGGAGCTCCCACCAACCCCCCCACGCCCCCCCCCCCCCCCCCACTAAGAGACAATCGAGCCTTTGTGCTTTAATCATCTCAGCACATTCACGCCAGCTCACGCAGCCCGCGCGTGTCTGTGCGGAGGCCGAGCGAGTGTCTCTCCGTGCGAGGGCGAATAGTTTGTGCACGAGTTGTACGCGTTTGTCAGGGCTGCGCGGGAGCGGTGGTGTAGCGGTTTAGCGCGCCGCGCTACGGACCCGGTGACCCGAGTTCGATTCCCGCTCACGGCTAACTCCAGAGACGATCATCTAGTACCGGTCCTCCACGAGGTCGGCCCACCCCCGCCCCCTCAAACGAGTACCTTGGTGTGGAGTGTAAACATCGCCGCTGGGGAGACAAAGATGGCCGGGCGTGGTGTTGGCCACCCACCCCCTCGTGTGCCGTTCCGGCTTTCATGGGGCAAGTGGTGTTAGTGAGCGCCTAACAGTTTGTTAAGGCTACACAGGGTACCTTTGTCTTTGTGCGTGTGTAAGGCGCAGTGGTGTAGAGATCAGCGCGCTGCACCACGAACCCGGCGCCTCGAGTTCGATTTCCCGACCACGGCCAACAATCGGTGGCCATCCCCTACGTCGACTCAACCTTAAACGACCAGCTGGCGCGGCGAGGTAAAACATCAGCTGTGGGGGGAGACAAAGGCGGCCAGGGCGAGGTGCTGGCCACGCACCGCCCCCTCGCTCGTGTGTCGTGCCGGGCTGAGCGCTCGCAAGCTTTGCCTGCGGAGGGAGATGTTACAATGGGGGCCATCGTTGTCAAGATTCACGACGGGGGAGAGCGGGCCGCGATAGGCCACGATAGCTCCGATTGACGGCGGCGCCCGTGGGTACGGCAATCCGAAAGCTCCCCCCCACCCCCCCCCCCGCCCCCCCCCCCCCCCCCGCGGGAGCCAGCAGCATGCGGCGATCGATTTGGCCCGAAATCTCCCTCTGAGCTGACTCGGCAGAAAAACTAAAAAGCAAGCTTTTTTTTTTAAGACTTGTGAAAGCAGCGGACTCTTTAGATATTGCTGGACACGTCGGACATGTAACCCCCCGCCCCCCGCCCGCTCCTCCCCCAGACCACGTCGAGAACCGTTATCCAGATTGTGGTCTATCGGCGGCGGCACGGAACGCAGAACCCATTTGGAAGCGGATAGCACAGAGCTACCTCCGAGATCGATTTTAGAGTCCTCTGAGCCCACGGAGTAACGACGCAGCACTTTCCAGCCGGTTCCGACTATTAAGGGGAGTGATGTTCGTCGTTACGGCGGAGAAACTGATCTGCTCCTTCATTTATAAAAAATCTCCGAGCGTCAATGTATAATAATTAAGTGCGGTGCCAATTTTTTGTGGTGCGTAGTCACTGGTGGTCGGGCTGGAACCGGCTTGTACCAGACGCGGCTGAAACCCAGATTCAAACCCAGGCTCTCGGCTGTGCTGGCTTCAGCGCTGTGAGCTTTTAGTCACCGGGCGACCTTTGATTAGTGATTCACAGTATTGAATCACTAATGTACATTATTTATATCCACGCATAATTATCCACGCAATACATGTGGTGTGTAATAACGCTGGCTGCTGATGGAAAAGTAGTACTGACAGCAGAGGACAGTACACACGTCAGCAGAGGGAGGAGATATGGGGGGGGGGGATTAGGAGATCGAAAGAGAAGCTCAGGAAGGGGTTCATCTGGAAGCCCGGGAACCTGCGAGTAGGTTCCAGAAAGGGGGCGTGGCGAGGGCGGAGCGAGGACACGCCGGGAGGATAAAAGGGGGCCCGGGGCGAGAGCTCGGGGCTGTCGCTGGAAGTGGATAGCCCCTCGCCGTGCCGCTGTTCGTCACCTTCGTCGCCGCAGTCTTGAGCACGTTCGACGCCGCTAGCTCGACAGCCTGCCGACTGTACTGGCTAGGTCGTGCCGTCAGAAGAGACGGATGCGTGACAAGCGTGTGCGCACGTAGGGTGACTGGCATGTAGTTCCCCTGACGTGGAGAATAAAGAAGGTGCTTGAATGATCCCTGTCTCAGAAGTGAGTCACTACACATACACAAAGATCCCCCCCCCACCCCGTATAGTTTAACAGACTGTTGGGGAAAGTGCGAGTAGCACCTATGAAGGCCGGAACGGTGCACGTAGGGACGGGTGGCCAGCACCATGCCTTTGTCTCCTCTGGTGGGGATGTTTACACACCGCACCAGGTAGTCATTGGAGGCTGAGTCGACCTAGGGGAGGCCCAGGACCGGCTCAGATAATCGTCACTGGTTTTGACCGTGAGCGGGAATCGAACTCGGCCCGCCGGGGTCGGAGCGCAGCGTAGCGCTAACCGCTACGCTACCGCTCCCCATAACAATACATACACGCAAAATAACAATAATTCACATGCACACACACACGGCATACGCACATCAGCAAAACACGGCGTGGGGGGGGGGGGGAGGGGAAACACCTTGCAAGTTTCCAGCTGCAACACACGAACACGCATTTCACCCACATGGCCATTATGAGCCAACCCACGGGAGCGACAGAGGCTCCGCGCATCAACAACAACAGAGCGCGAGAGAAGAAGAGACAGCCTCCCGACACCTGAAACCACGCAGGCAGCAGCAGGGCAAGGCAGCGCGCTGCAAGCTGCAGCCGTAGAGGAAGACTGGCCTGTAATTGTGCCTGGGAGTGTGTTTCCCTATCCGCAGCAAGCAGTGCCGGGAGTAGAGCAGCGCTGTGCCTGCCTCGCGTTTATAAACGGCCCCCTCCCTACGGCCGTGGTCAGGTCTTCTTTGCCGCGCTGTGCGGATCTCCGCGGAGTTGTCGGGGGTCGCGACAGCGGTGTCGTTTCGGCACGGTGTCCGACGTTTCGCGCCGGGCGCTGCCGAGAGCTCGCCCGGGAGCTGCCGGCACGAGGAGGGGGGAGCGTCGACACGCAGCGGGCCGAACGACGCCTGCGATTAGAATCCCCCGAATAAAGTCAACGGAGAAGCAAATCCTTTAAAAAGAATCACTCCGCCCCTATTTGCGCAGCGTCCTCAGATGGGGGAAGTCACATTTAGCGGCTTTATAAATTGACATCTCGAGTTGTAAATTTAGGATGCACGGGGCCAGAGTGCGGGACGTGCTACAAACTACCGTAGCGGCATACTCTTTGGTTCTAGATTTGAAGCTTTCGTGACTGCAAGTATTCATATTCTTAGGTTTTTTCGGTAAAGTCACGTAGGTAAAAAAAATCTAAATTAATAAAAGTAAAAAAAAAAATCACGACGTTCCGGAGGCAACACAAGCTTCCGTCTTCAGGTGATTTTAATTTTATTTTACTTTTATTAACTTGGATTTTTTTACCTACGTGACTTTACCGAAAAAATCTAAGAATACTCTTTGGTTCTCTCGGTAAAGTCACGTAGAAAAAAATAATAATAATGATAGATCACGACGTTTCGATCGCCACCCAAACGACCGTCCTCAGGTGGGATAGAGTATGGATTCCTGCAGTCACGACAGCTTCAAGTCAAGATTGAACCGTAACGGCGTCGGGGGGGGTTTTTACGGGACTCGGCGTTGGCAGACTCATGGCGAATCTCTCCGGTCCAGCACCCGTCAGGCCGGGTGCCAGGCGGGTGCTGGTCCCCGTCTCCCTGGCAGGGCCACCGGCTAGAGACGGTGGCAGTGAGGACGCAACTCCCGAGCGACAGATCTTACGCGAGTGGGTGTTACGATCTCACTACGAATCCCCCGTGTATGTACGTCTGTATGTACGGTACGTTGAACTTCTTTCGCACCGTACGTAGCCAACCGTGCTAATCGGAGGCGCGGGGGAAGGACAATCTCGATGCAGTAAAAGTGCATCATAGCTCCCCAGTGGGCTTCCTAATATCGGAAGGAACAGCGTCGTTCCAGACGGCCGCAGAAGCGCATCCGAATGCGCCGCGCGATGCGGTGTATTACGATCGCACTCCGATTGTAGCCAACGGCGCTGCGTCGGACGAGAAACACACTCCCAGGTGGGACCAGAGCGCACGGCTTGATGCGCTGAAGCTTTTAGAAGATTTTGTTTCCATTTACCCCCCCCACCCATCCCCGAGGGGGGGGGGGTAGAAAGAAAAACAAACTTCTGACGACGAGGTAGGGGGGACGTCGTCTGCCTCGAGGAAGAGAGACGTGCAGGTACGGTTTACCTGATTTCTTCGGAGTCAGTTTTCTCAACAAAACCGCTGCGGAAGGGGGTGGAAAAACAACCGGTGACAGGCGGTTAACGCGCGAAACAAAGGCGCTTGATTATTATCAATCAGTCCGGCTCGCCCGGGTCGACAACCAGAAGACGTTTCCCACAGCCGGCGCATCGCACGCCACAGGACACCTCTTGCTGTGGCTGGAAGTCACTACTTGCCCCGTCCAGACTCGGCCACGATTCACGGTCGAGACGGCACCGCGGGTGACGCCGGCGCTCCTCGACCCCTGCCGGTCTCTGTCCGGCTGCCGAAGACAGCGCCACTTTCGAGGGGTGTTGCTCCTGACAGCACCTCAACCGCCCCCCCTCCTTCCCTGCACCACAGAGGTCGCAACCGGGTACCCGATACCCGTACCCGGCTACCCGTACCCGGCCAGGTACGGGTACGGGTACCCGTTTGCGACCCTGGTGCGGCCGGGTACGGGTAGGCCGTGAGTCACTGGTGAGTAGCCGTTTGTCACTCATTTCGGGTAGGGTACGGGTAGGGAACGGCTACCCGTACCTGGCCGGGTACGGGTACCCATTTGCGACCCTGGTGCGGCCGGGTACGGTGTACGGGTAAGGAATCAAAACCCGTTTGCGACCTCTGCTGCACCACCACCATCTGGCCTTAGGGTCGCTGGCCTCGTGGAAATCACTCCAAAGGGCATGTCCCGGTAAACGCAGTGATCCCGCGCACATCTGGCCGAGAGCCAGCGCCCTGGAAAGGATTCTGTACGAATCCAAAATACAATAGAATAGACAATTTCGATTTAAAGCTTTCGTGACTGCAGGGATTCATCTTCTTGGTTCTTTCGGTAAAGTCACGTAGAAGGGAAGTAATAAAATAATAAAAATAAAACAATTCTCTCGACGGACCTGGTTTTCACCTGAGGACGGCTGATTGCATTGTGGCCGAAACGTCGTGAGAATTGTTTTATTATGTTTTATTTTTATTATTTTATTACTTCCCTTCTACGTGACTTTACCGAAAGAACCAAGAAGAAAAAAAATAGAATAGACATTTATCCCAAACCCTCTGCACGGGCACAAACGGCGTTTGCGTAGAATCCGCATTCGTTACGGTTTGCGGATTTCGTTTTGCCCTGGGAGGAGAGCGACTCAGCCGCCGTGAGCTTGTGGTTGGCGGGGGGGATGGGACGGTGGGGCGAGGACCCCGACGTGAAGCCACCACAACAGGTGGCGCAGATGCCCTGACGCACGACCGCCGCGCGGCCCCCCCACGAGAGCGAATCGACAGAGGCGCGTGCGCGCGCTCCCGCCCCGCTCCTCTCCGCCCTCCCACCCACCGCAACGACACAAACTTCGACCATTCGCTGCGCGGCACTGTACGCCGCTCGCGCGCGAGGCTGCCTCCCAGAACGAGCCAGACCGTTACCTCCTGCGAGGGTGTGGCAAAGCGAGGGCGAACGGAGCGTTGCAAGCGTCGTCGAGGAATTCTCACGATGCAGCAGCCGCCGCCGCCGCCACCGCGTTGGTCCCGTTGGTGTTGCAAATTAAAAAATAAAAACTCAACTATTTTTTTTTTACTGCCTCGATGCCGCAAGCGTACGATTTTTCAAGGGGTGTACGTGTTGCACATGATCCATTCCTAATGTGCCACATACGAATCACCAAGCAGGGTCGCTCCACTGCTAGATGGATGGCCCCTGGCCCGGCTCCCCTCCGAATTTTAATTTTAATTTATACCTACGTGACTTTACCTAAAAAACCTAAGAATATCCCATCCTCTCGCAATCCATCCATGTTAACCATCCACCCGGCGGCGTCTGCCACTGCCAATGTGTCAGCTGTTCTGTCATTTCCCTTCTCACCGGAGGCTTCTACCGGCACGACGCCGCTGCCCTCCCCACGGCTCACGGCACGCCGTGCCGTGCCGTGCCGTGCCGCCGCCTGGTCTGCATCGTTGTGCTCTGGCTTCTTTGTCATGTCAGCCAAAAGAACATCGCATGCGCATGAATTCCACCAGGCCAAACAAGTTGGTGTTATATAAATCGCGAAGGATTCGGTGACCGTGAGATTACATTTTTTTTTTTAATATAATTTTAGCCGAGCAATCGATCGATGCAGTCACCGGATCATCGCGTGCCGATGCGCTGATAGCCGAGGGCCGTCCCTGGCGCTGGCTAGAATGTGGGAGCGAGAGGGCCGATTGAACGAGATGGTGACGAGGTGGTGGGTGGGTGGGTGGATCGGTCGATGGGTCGGAAGCTAAAGTGGCTGGGACGCAGACCTCTGACAGCCAACGCAAGCAGAAGTAGATTGCATTTTGAGAATGTAAACCAATTTCAAAATGCGTCAGAGGCCAAAACCTGACTGGGCACGCAGAGAATGGGATCGCACCCAGGCAAGAAATGTTCTAACGGCCCTGCAAGTGGTGGCACGCTGATACGGGTGGCAACCCACGTCACAACCGGTGACCTCGGGTCCCCACTGCACCAATCTGCCCTGACTTGCGGTCAAACCAACCCCCCACCATCGAAATGTCTTGGGGGGGGGGGAGCCATGTCAGTGGTTCTAATATCCAGTGGGCAATCTAGGACCCCCCCCAACCCCGCCTTAAATTCCCCCCCACCCCCACCACAAACCCTTCACCGACTTGCACTGATCAGCATGGTGAATTACGGTTCCTTAGCCCCACGTGATCGACACGTGCGTGGCCGGGCCTTCAATCCAACGGTGGTACAGCGTCTTGGCGGAGCGGCGGTGTGCAGAGGGAATCCAACTCGTGCGAGCACGACTTCACATTCTTGTCATCATGGGGACAGCTCGAGGCAATTGCACGAAAATAGTTGGGAGGGGGGAAGAAATAAAGAAAAAACAACGGCCTGGCTCTCTGTCCCGTCGCGTGTCGCTAGGACGGGAAAGAAAAAAAACCCCGTTAACTTTCCCCCGCAAAGCGGCACTCTCCATTGGAACCTCATTTGCCAGTAAAAAATATGATAATTGTTTTTATACCCTTCTATCTGGCAACAAAACTGACACCTTTTTACAAGGAGTCATGTTTGCATAGACCACAATACTTGCAGTCATAATGCAAACAAAAAACATAACTCTGATAATAAAGAACAGTGCATACATTATCAGAGTTATGTTTTTTGTTTTCATTATGACTGCAGGTATTGTGGTCTATGCAAACATGACTCCTTGTAAAAAGAAAGGTGTCAGTTTTGTTGCCAGATAAAAGGGAAAAAAATAAATTATCATATTTTTTACTGGCAAATGAGGGTACCAACGGTGTAAATGCTTACCCCGAGCTCTCATACTCTGATGGTGCATTGTCTTTGAGTTGTGCGCCTTTTGGCGTCATCTGGTCCAACACCATGTGAGACTAGGCTCTAAGGAAAGCTGTCTAGGGTGTGGACCAATCAACTTCAAGGACAGTGCATACATTATCAGAGTTATGGTTTTTTTTGCATTATGACTGCAGGTATTGTGGTCTATGCAAACATGACTCCTTGTAAAAAAGGTGTCAGTTTTGTTGTCAGATAGAAGGGTAAAAAAACCAATAATCAAAGCGGCACTCGTTTCACCGACCGCGGAAGGACGGCTCGAGTCAACTCCGAGGGCGTGAGATCGCGAACCAACTCGCGGACCGCCCCGCCGCTGAGCCACGCTGAGGCCGCCCGCCATCGCCACCTCCTCACGGTTCCGCCAGCGAGCCGGGAAAACCACCGCGGCGGGAGGGGGGGCTCGGGGCGGGGGGGGGACGAGACGACAGCGACGACGACAGCGCCGGCGCACGGCTCACCGGCACGTAGCACCTTCTCCAGCCGCTCGACGCTGGGGGAGCCCCCGCCGCGGAGGCTGCGGCGGCGCGGGCTCGGCACGGGCGACGCGCTGGGGGACGCCGGCTCGGTGGAGGCCTCGTGCGGCGCCGGCGGGACCCACGGCGAGGTGGTGGAGGAGGAGGAGGACCACTCGCGAGGGCAGAGGAGCTCCTTGGCGCAGCGGTGGCACACGCTGTGCTGGCACGGCAGGATGATGGGGTGCGTGAAGAGCTCCTCGCACACCGGGCACATCAGTTCGCGCTCCAGGTTCTTCATGGGGACCTGGCGGGTGGTGGGTGGTGGGCCGAGGGGTGCGGTAGGAGGTGGTGGGGGGGGTGCAGAGAGAGGATGGAGAGCCACGTGGAGGGGGACGCGGAGGGGTGACGGCGTGGAGGAGATGTGGAGTAGGTGTTGATTCTGGACTCGTTATGATAGTTGATTATATCATTCGAAAATGTTTTAATGATGACCACTCCAACAACCAGCCCTCAAACAACCACAACCATGCATCACAAAAGTGTGCCAACGCAACTACACACGCAAACACACAAAAGCTAAACTAGAAACACAACTAGACGCACAACCACACAGAAGACAAGGACAAAGAGTTGAAGCTTTCGTGACTGCAAGGATTCATAAAGTCACGTAGGAAAAAATGAAATTAAAATTAATATTTTATTTTTATTAATTTCATTTTTTACCTACGTGACTTTACCGAAAAAACTAAGAGTGTAAGGACAAATATACCCCGTGTAGCCTTAATAGGCCGGCACGGCACACGAGGGGGTGGGTTCCCAGGACCACGCCCGACCGCCCTTTGTCTCCCCAGCAGGCGATGTTTACACAGAGCACCAGGTACTCATTTGAGGCCGAGTCGACCTAAGGGAGGCCCAGGACCGGTTCAGATCATCGTCACTGGGTGTTGTCCGTGAGCGAGAATCGAACCCGGGTCGCCAGGTTTCTTGGCGCAGAGCGCGAACCGCTACCCCCCCCCTCCCCACACACAGAAGTCAAATTACACAAAGACAAAGACCCCCCGTATAGCCTTCACAGACTGTTGGGCAAGTGCTGTTAGCGAGCACCTATGAAGGCCGGAACGGCACACGAGGGGGTGGGTGGCCAACACCACGCCCCACCGCCTTTGGCGATGTTTACACACAGCACCAGGTACTCATTGGAGGCTGAGTCGACCTAGGGGAGGCCCAGGACCGGTTCAGATCATCGTCACTGGGTATTGTCCGTGAGCGAGAATCGAACCCGGGTCGCCGGGTTCGTAGCGCAGCGCGCTAACCCCTACACCACCGCTCCCCCCTCTACACACACAGAAACCAAATGACAGACACACACGTGCGCGCACACACACGCACACACGGGCGTTCCCGTACCTCTGATGAGTACGGTTTGGCTACGTGCGGCGGTGCGAAAGAAGTCCAACAAACCAACAGAACGGCAACACAGCACGGGCACGTGACGGGAGAGCATCGAGGCAATGCGGCCCTCTGCGCAAATCCCGCGGTAGAATCGTAAAAGCGAAAATTCGTCGCCCAAGCTACATTGTTTTGTTTGTTTGTTTGCAATTGTCGGGGCCGTGCAGTAACGTAACTCGCGTCCCGGGCACCCAGATCCCCACCCCCGGTCAACGTGGAAGGTTGGACCCATGTTGGGCCCACGTTGCATGATTAACTGGGCAGGCCCAAGAACCAGAGACACAGATCCAGAGACGTAAGGCAGCCGATCTAAGACCACGGAAGCTGGCTTGAGTCAAGAAACACAGAATCACAAAATCAGAATGACTGGGGACTCAAAATCCGAGGCCATAGAAAAAAAAAACCCCAGACATTAAGAGCTCAGGAACCCCCAGAACGAGGGATCTAAACCCGTGGACGTGCGAAACCCAGAGCTCCCACAGTCAAATATTTTTTTGATTCCTTCGGTAAAGTCACGTAGATCGGTTCAAATCAATAAAAATTAAAGAATTTGAACCGATCTCCGTGACTTTACCGAAAGACCCACAGAATATGATTTCCTGCGGTCACGAAAGCTTTTAAGTCAAGATCCTCTCCCACATTTCGATTTAAAGCTTTCGTGACTGCAGGGATTCATCTTCTTGGTTCTTTCGGTAAAGTCACGTAGAAGGGAAGTAATAAAATAATAAAAATAAAACATAATAAAATGTATTATGTTTTAAGTAATAAAATTATTAAAATTCAACATAATAAAATTTATTATGTTTTATTTTTATTATTTTATTACTTCCCTTCTACGTGACTTTACCGAAAGAACCAAGAAGATGAATCCTCTCCCACAGCTAGTTCGCAAATCCCATGGTAGAGCCCCGGCATCGTCGGTGCCAAGGCACCAGGGGACCCACGGTGGCAGCCTGGGGCCAGTGACACAGACGGGGAGAAGCAACACGGGACGAGGGACCCAACACCGAGGGTAACACCAAGCACCAGGCACCTCCCACCCCACCCAGTCAACATCGAACGTTAGACTAATGTTGGCCCCGACGCTAGGCCAACGTTGGTTTAACGTCGGGGCAACGTTGGGGCAACGTTAGGCCAACGTTGCCCCAACGTTAGGCTAACGTTGGTTTAACGTCGGGCCAACGTTGGGGCTACGTTAGGCCAACGTTTCCCCAACGTTAGGCCAACGTTGGTTTAACGTCGGGCCAACGTTTCCCCAACGTTAGGCCAACGTTGGTTTAATGTCGGGCCAACGTTGCCCCAACGTTAGGCCAACGTTGGTTTAACGTCGGGCCAACGTTGGGGCAATGGTTCCAACAACATTGCAAACGTTGCCCCCACGTTCAACACGCGTCGACTGGGGGGGGGGGGGGGTGAGTGCCCCCCTCCCCTTCCTCACCTGTATCTCTGACCGCTCCAGAAGCGCCTCGTGCGCCCCTGAATCCAAATCTCCTCCGAACCAATCCTCCTCCACCTCCTCCACCAACTCGCCTGCAGCCTCAGAACCCGACATGCTGCTGCTGCCGCTGACGACGACGAAGCAGCAGCAATAGCGTCAAAATCAGGTCCTGCAGGTCTTGCGGGGTGTGTGTGGTGTGTGTGTGTGGTGTGAGTGGTGTGCTGTGTGTGGTGTGTGTGTGTGGTGTGTGTGTGGTGTGTGTGGTGTGTGTGTGTGGTGTGTGTGGTGTGTGTGTGGTGGTGTGTGTGTGTGGTGTGTGTGGTGTGTGTGTGTGGTGTGTGTGTTGGGTGTGTGTGGGGTGGTGGTGTGTGAGTGGTGTGTGTTGTGGTGTGTGTGGTGTGTGTGGTGGTGTGTGTGGTGCGTTTGTGTGGCGTGTGTGTTTGAGGTGTGTGTGGTGTGTGATGGGTGTGGTGTGCTGTGTGTGGTGTGCTGTGTGTGGTGTGCTGTGTGTGGTGTGCTGTGTGTGGTGTGCTGTGTGTGGTGTGCTGTGCTGTGTGTGGTGTGCTGTGTGTGGTGTGTGTTTGAGTGCGAGTGGTGTGGTGTGTGGGTGGTGTGTGTGTGTTGTGTGTGTGGGGTGTGTTTGAGTGTGAGTGGTGTGTGGGTGTGGTGTGTGTGAGTGGTGTGTGTGTATGGTGTGTGTGTAGTGTGTGAGTGGGTGGTGTGTGTGTGTGGTGTGTGTGTCTGCTATCGAGGCTAATGTAGTTAGCGAGCGCCTATTAAATCAAGCCAGGCTCATGATATTCTTCCCAGGCTGAGCTTGTGCCGGCTTCCTTGGGCCGATGTCGCCGATGCTGCCACGTCAATCTTGCTTCTGCGTTGTGCTGCTGCTGCTTCTTCTTGTTGTACTGATAACTATGTCCCTCGTCGCTGTGGTTCTTCTATTGCTGTTGTTAGCGCAGTGCAGCTGCTGCTGTTGCCGCTGTGTGGTCTTGTGTCTATGCTGAGTGGGGTAGTGCGGCTCTTCTGTTCGCCTGCGTTACGGGTGGTGGTGGTGGTGATTCTCTCAGCTTTTGTAGTATCACCGCTGTAAGGTGGCCGTGATGTGCCGAGGCAAAGGTCTTGAATGACTTGCTGATTAGTGTTCTTCCCTTCGCTGCTGCTGCTGCTGTTGGTTGTGGCCCAGTCAGCTGTTGTGTTGCTGCTGCTGTGTCTGCAGCAGCGATAGCTTCTTCTTCATCATCATCATCGTCAGTGGCGTTCGCGAGCAGACCCGGCAGTGGCTGCCACGGCACTTGCTGTTTATAATGGGCGCTGTCCGCCACTCGCTGTTGCTGCTATATAAGGCGTGCCCACTCCTTGTGTGCGAATCGGTGTGTGCGCGTGTCTGTGTGCGTGTGTGGGTGTGTGCGTGTGTCTGTGCGTATGTGTGTGTGTATGTGTGTGTTCTGTGTGTATGTATCTGTGCGTATGTGTGTCTGTGTGTATGTGTGT